ATGATCCAAAGTTATTGCCTCTACCTCTGGATCTGAACCCCATTTTCTCCCTCCTCCATAAGCCTCTCCATCAACTCTACCCTCTTCTCTCTCCCACATCTTTAACTATAAAAACAAAACAGATGGAATTCCCTGTGCCCCCAAATTCCTCTTCGATTAGTTATCTGTCTCTTTCCCTTCCTTGCCAAGCTTCTTCAAAGAGCAGCCTACACAGCTCTAACACAATTCCTCACCACCCAGTGGTCTCTCTACTCTGGATGCTGCTCCTAAGGACACACATAACCCCCAAGTTACTAAGCCCAGTGGATATTTTTCAGTCTTTAGCCTCAATTCTGACCTTCATGCCATTTGACATCTTTTTTTTATTAAAAAAAATTTTTTTAGGCCTCCCCAGTGGCTCAAGGGGTTAAGACCGCAACCTATGAAGCTCTCGGCAGCCTCTGCAGCACTAGTTCGATCCTAGCCCTCCAGGGAGCTACCCACTTGACACAGCAGACCTCTCCTGACTTGCCCACTACCCTCCTCAGCAGTGTATTTCAATCAGTCTCTATGTTCTGTTCCCCACTCTGTCTCCGGTGAATCCTCTCACCGCCCCCCACACCTCTGTACCCAAGTTCTTATATGCAGACTGACTGAAATACACTGCTGAGGGGAGCAGCGGATGAGACACGAGAGGTCTGCTGTGCCATGTAGTTAGCTTCCTGGCTGGCTGGGATCGAACTAGTGCTGCAGAGGCTGCCCATAGCTTCACAGTGCTGTGCTTAACTCCTCGCACCACCAGGGAGGTCCCTGACACCTCCTTTTTGAAACCCTTCATCCACCCTCCCCTGGTTTTCCTGCTAATTTTCATTCCTCCTTCATCATCTCCTCTCCCCTCATCTGTCTTTAAATGCTGTGTCTCCCGCATCGTGTCCTTGGCTGTCTTCTCCTTCCCTTTCCTACTCTCTCTAGGGACCCTTTTCTACAACCATCACCCCACCTTCCCTCTCTATCCCACACCTCTCCTCTGTGCCCAGACTCACATGCTCATTTATGAAAATGGACATTTCCATCACAATTTCCCAAGATAGGTATATTAGTCATCTCTCACTACATAACAGCTTACCCCCAAGCTTAATGGTTTATAACAACAAACATTTATTCTGAGAATAAGGAATCTGGGAGAGACTTTTTCTAGCTCAGGATGTCACGTGAAGTTAAAGTGAAAATGTTGACATGGGTCACAATCATGCAAGGTTTGACTGGAGCTAGATCTTCTTCTAAGTGTTTCATTTGCATGGCTGTTGATGGGGGGGGGGTCCTCAATCCTTTCCAATGTGGACCTCCCCATGGGGTGTTCCTGTGTCCTGCCGAGTGAGCATCCAAGAGAGAGCAAGGAGCAAGGTGCCATACCCATCTTGGCCTTTCTAGCCAAGATGTATCCTTCACAGTTCCCGGATGGTGTCAGAATAATTCACAGCCTTGTCATATGCTGCTCCCTCTTTTTGGAATATACCCTTCCACTTATCTCACCCAGGCTAACTCCAGTTCATTCTCAGCAACTGAGAGCAGGAGCTGTGCTTCTCTCTGAATCTCACCATTTAACATGGAAACTACTGCAGAGGAGTTGTTCACCAAATGTTCACTGAATGAATAAAAGAGGGAGCTGGCAGTTGCTGAGTGTCTTGGACCCCTGTGGCATGCTTGGTATGCAAGGAGCAGCTGGTCTAATCTCATTCACTTACCCCCCTCAGACCACCTTTCCTGACCAACCATCTTCCTTTGCTTCAATGACACAGGTGGAAAAAACAAATTCTGAATTCTACCCCACCACCGTCCCTACTCGGTCCCTGACCTAGGGAAAGTTATTTATTGTCTCCGAGCCTCTATCCTTCATCTGCACCAAGGGTTAATAAAAAGGAGAGGAGAGAATACATTACTTAAATTGATATTTCTTGAACCAGATACTATGCTAGGCATTCTTAAATAAATTAGCTTGAGTGATAGTCACAATATACCAGTGAGACAGACTTGACTGCAGCTCAGAGGAGTTACGTAGGTAACTTGGCCAAAGCTGGACAAAAATTTGGGGTAAGTGACCAGATCATAGGCAACATTAGAAAAAATAGAGGTGTATCTAATTCTCTTTCAGTCCTAAATGACAGGGTTCTTATTTTCACAGTCATTTTCAGCCTTGGATCTCAAGGATGGAGACTCTGCCTTATCCCATCAGATCAAACACCTGGTGAGCACTACATCTTACCTGTAGGTCTAAGGCCCAGGGTGCCCCCCAGCTGTTCCTAAAAACTATGCAGCAGTGCTCTCCAGCTTTCCTTCTGCACCTTTAAAGCATTTTTATAGCTGTTATGTCTTGTTAGATGAATTACTTAAATTGATATTTATTGAACCAGATACTATGCTAGGACCACTTAAATAAACTAGCTTGAGTGATAGTGAGAAGAAATGAATCTTCCCATTTTGTAGGTGAAATAACTGAGGTTAAAGTGATTCACCTAAAGCCATATGGTTATCACTCATTAACAGGACAATAGAATAGTATCCACCAGAGACTGACATGTCAAGTGCAAGTCAAGTGGGCATATTTTTCTAATTGGCTGGGAGGCAGGAGTATCACTGTGGAAAGACAACCCTCAGTATATCAAATAGACCTGGGCTCTGATCTGAGTTCCTTTGACTGCAAAACTACCATAGTTTAAAAGAAAAAATGCAGACTTTAGAATAGGTCTGTTTCAGGAGTAAGTCTTCTAGTACAAGAAGAATAGATCGATTAGGAGCTCTTCGAGGACAGAAACTTATCTTTCTTTATATCCCTAGTACCTAGCATAGTTCCAAGGACATACTGGTACTTAATAAATGTTTGTTGACTTGAATGGGGGATTTGGAAGGAAAGAACAGGAGAGGGAACTTGAGAGAGTTTAGATTTAAAGATGTAAGGAGAAGAGAGCCTAGAAAGAGTGGGTTCAAGAGAGAGAACCCAGGCATTTCTGGTCCTAGTTCCCTTACTCCAAGCTATCAGCAAATCCTCCAGAGTAACAGGGTGCTGTGGCTTTAAATGACTTCAGCGTTGTCAATGAATCTGCTCTGCTAAAAGAGTTATCCTCTTGCTCCTGCGCTTGGCCTCCCCCTCCTCTCAGCTCCCCAAACCCTTCTCAGCGGCTGTGATGGGATAATTAGATGCGAGAGCTCAGCACAGATGATGCTCCAGTTGCTTAGCAACTAATGGTTTCCATGGAGACCGCAAAGCACAGCCTCTAGAGCAGCCAGTGAGCAGCTCGGCAGGGCAGGGAGAAGACGCAACTCTCAGCTCCTCCAGAAACCTGGGGAGGGCTAAGGGTGGGGAAGGAGGGGGGAATTGGAGGGAGAAGTAGGGCTTAAAGGCACAGGGCCCTCTTATCCCTTTAAAATCTGGCCAGAGCTCTGCCCTCCCTACCTTTCTCTGTCCCACTCAGAATTTCAGATGGGATGGGGGCTTATGAGTAGACCCAACACAACCTGTCCTGCAGTAAACCCAGCCTCTTCTCCTGTCTCTCCCTGCTTTGTGTCTAAACGGGAAGAGACACCTCCCAAATTCAGCCTTCTGGGTTGGTGATGGGATTTGAAAAGCCTCAGACAGATCCCTTCACCCTTGGAATTCCATCATTTAGTCTGTTCCCTCTCTCCAAAGTGTTCCTCAATGTACAAGACCCTCTTTCAGATTGTGAATGATGGCAGGGGCTGGTCTAAAAGGAATCACAAGTCAAGGTGAAGGAAAGCAGATGCACCTCTTCACCCAAAGTCTGCCTGTCCTGGGAGGCTGAGGGAAACACCTGCCTGTACCTGATCTCCATCAAAGAGGAGCCCGTGTGTGGTGTGTGTGTGTTGGGGAGAAGAGAAACAGAAGGGAGAGTTGCAATCCAGAGCATCTGGTAACTGGAAGTGTGGGCCTCTCAGACTAGCATCAGCCAGTCTTACCCTGTACTGGTTAGAAGAACAGAATTTCAGGCTTCACCTCAGACCGACTGAATCAGAAACTGCATCTGAATAAGATATCTGGTGACTCACAGATTAAACTTGGTGGAGCACTGGTCTGGGACCTCCTATCCTCCGCTGGGTCCCTGAGTTTTCTCTTATTGTCACCCCTAGCTGGTACTGGCACCCTAGGCTTTGAAACTACCCTTCCCAATGTGGAGTGGTAAGGACATGACCCCACCAGACCCTCCCTTCCCTACAGGATGTTGACCTTTCCTTGGGATGCAGAGAAGAGAGAATGCTTATGGTACATCTACACTCCGCGGAGTATCTTCTGGCCTGGCCAGCAAAGGAGTCCACTTTCCATAGTGACTCAACCTCTCTGAATCTCCGTTTCCATAAGCACGACAAAGAGCCAATAATATCAACTGCTCAGGATGGGCGAAAGGCTAGGTCTGTGGGGCTCACCAAGCCCTAGCCCATGCCCCAGAGTAGGTGCCTTCTCCTCATCTCACGACTCTGCTCAGAACTCCTGAGCTGCTCTCTTAATTGAGTGGGTGATGCAGCCGGGGAAGTTGTGCCTCTTTGTCATTTTCTCTTATTAGGTTTCTTTCTCTGCTTAATTTCCATTCAGTTAACAAATGGCTGCTGACCTAGGGTAATAGCTCTGTTTGCTCTAGAAGTCTTCCTTGGCCTCCCTCAGTTGGCTGAACTCTGCAGAAGTGTCTGACACCTGCCCACTCCATGGTGTGACACCCCTCACCTTTCCCAGGGCAGCAGTGTTTCCCTGGCACGCATTCCCTTCGTCCCTCAGTGGAACCCATAGCTCTGCTGCCCTCACCCCCCATTGTCAGTCACTCTCTCCCAGTCTTGCCTAGCCAAGGTCCTTTGAGGAGGCTCTTGGGGTTGTTCTCTTCCTGATGTCACAGGGCAACCTCAGAACCTGCCATCCAGAGGTGGGGGGTGGAGGGGAACAGTCCTCTCTGGGCTGAGCTCCAGATGCACGTGGAGGAGGAACATACAAAAGAGGGGGTGATTTCTACCCCCAACCAAGTTACCCTGTCCCTCTGCAGCTAACTAAGCCATCAAGATCCAGACAGGGCAAATTCCCTCCCAGGCATGAGGGCCAGCTCCCCATCCTGAAAAACCTGTCTGCCACTCCACCCCCTGAGGCCATAGGGCCCTAGGGGCAGGTTGAACAGGATTCCCTCCGGCCCCTCCCACCCCCAGAACAAAATCAGTCACCCTAAGGGGCAGGGGTATCACTTGCCTTAGGAAGCCAGTCTGCCAGCCCCAGCTCCCAGCTCAGCTATGGCATCCCTGCTACCAATTTGGACCACCTTGCCTTTGATCACGACTCTGCTGGCTCTTCTGGCCCCGAGGGCTGCAGGTCTCTGGCATCTCTGGAGGGGGTGGAGAGGGCCTTTATAGGGGGCTTAATGGGGGAGGGACTGTGCCTTCCAGGGCCCTCAAAGAGGAGCTGATCTGGCCAGTTGGGGGTGGGGGATGGTAATGGCAGTGACCAGGCATCAGTTCCTGGGCTCAGGACACAAGCCTGGACCTTTTCCAGTCCCAGGAGGCAAGGTTGTGAAGAAGGATCCAAGGCTGTGGTAGGGGTGAGAGTGGGTGCCGCCTGCTCAGGCACTTTGTCAGGTGGCTTGGCAGCATATCTAGCTTCTGCAGCCCAAGGCTGCCACCTGGTGGTCAGACCTGCAGAGGCCTGCAATGTGCCAGGGCACTGCAGAGTAAAGGGGAGAAGGGCAGAAGGGCTCTCATTCTTAGAGGGCCCAGTGGGTAGGAGACTGACCTGTGGGCTGGGATGAGGAGTGACTCCTGCCCTGAACTTGCTCCTGGTCCCCCAGCCAACTTCAACATCTCCAGCCTTTCCGGTCTGCTGTCCCCAGCGCTAACAGAGAATCTGCTAGTTGCCTTGCCCCCCTGTCACCTGACAGGGGGCAATGCCACACTGACGGTCCGGAGAGCCAATGACAGCAAAGGTCGGCTACCCCCTTCCCAGGAACCTCCCTAGTTCCTGGGACCCCTTCCTAGACACCCGACATCCCTTCTCCCACTGGCCTCTTCCCATATACTCAACCCTCTCCTTGGGGTGCTCCCCCTTCTCCTTGTGGCCTCCAGAATCTTGACTCTGCCTTTCACCCCTGATTTCCTGACCAGTGGTGAAATGTAGCTTTGTGGTTCCTCCATGCCGTGGACGCAGGGAACTGGTGAGCGTGGTGGACAGTGGGGCTGGCTTCACGGTCACCAGGCTCAGCGCATACCAGGTGACAAACCTCGCACCAGGAACCAAATACTAGTAGGTACCAGACCAGATCCAGGCCTGGAGCACCTGTGGGAGGTAGGGGAGGAGAAGCCAGATTCTGACACTTGGTGGGTGGGGGACATATGGGGAGAGAGAGAGGGCACAGCTAAGGGAGTCAAGAATGGGTCTCTCTTAGAGGAGGGCACAATGGGAGGAGCTGCTGTGAGGGGGAGGCCTAGTCCCTCTAGGACTCTTCCCTAGGACTCTTCCCCCGAATCCCAGATGCTCACTGAGGGTTCTTTTCTCAACCCCCCCTCCCCTGCCAAAAGCCTTTCCTACCTAGTGATGAAGGGGATGTCCACTGAGTCCAGTAAAGAGATCCCCATGTTCACACTTCCTCGTAAGTAACACTTCTGGGTCCTCAACCTCTCCTGGCCTCTCCCACCCACCTTTGCTCCCAGAACACTTGGCTTACCATCCTAGATTGAGTCCTTGGCATTTGACCTGCCTGTTGACTCCCCTGCCAGCACTACTGAACTGAAGGTTCTTTGAGGGAAGGGATTATGTGTCTGGTTTCTGTATCCTCAGTGCGTGACAGAGGAGAGGCTTCTTAAAAGTTTGTTTGATGGATGTTGGGACCCCTCCTGACTGGTGGGTTGGCTGGTTGGATAAATAAATGGATGAAGGGATAGCTGGAGGGAAAGGCTGCCTAAGGGGTTAGCCTGAAAGCCTCAGGCACAACAGGGGTACCTCCTGCTTACCAAGGCCTCCCCACTCTCTCCTCTGACAGGAAAGAAAAAAGAATCCATTGGGCTGGGAATGGCCCGGACAGGAGGCATGGTGGTCATCACAGTGCTGCTCTCAGTCGCCATGTTCCTGCTGGTTCTGAGCTTCATCATCACCCTGGCACTGGGTGCCCGAAAGTGAGGAGGCACAGGCTCCACCAGGAAGTCCAGGGCACATCCGTCTCTCAGCCCAGGGTTTAGCCTTCAGCTCCTGCCCCTCTCCTGAGGACTGTAGGCTCCCAGGCCTCAGTCAACTCAGTCAACCAACTTTGGCTCCTATGTTCCCCTCCTCTCCCTGATTGTCTCCACTGAAGGCCTTTCCTCCCTGTGTCTCTTTGGTCCCCCAATGCCTCACCTTTAGCCAACACTCCCTATTATTCCCCTTATCCTATCCCTGTCCTATCATAACTGACATTTTTCCCATTTGACCACTTTAATCCCCACCAACAATTCAGCACTCCCTGGGTAAACTAAGTTGCTACAATAAAGTCTGCTGCAGTATCTGCTGTGTGTTTCCCTCCTGTGGGCTCCACTTGGCATCAATCTCTAGAATCTATGTCCAGACTGCTGGTGCTGCAAGGCTCCTCCCCATTCTACCCCCAGAGTTGTTTTTCCTAGGAGGCAGGAAGGGGCCAGAAGAGATAAGAACCCAGGAGTCAGGAGTTCTGAGAAGCACACCTGGGCTATGGGTTTGCAGCCTCCCCAGCAGGCCACAGGACCAGGGTATGGTTGGGGACTGAGGCCCTGTGAGGGGGTAGGGAGGGTAAAAGGAGGGGGTAGGGCTGGCAGAGTTAAGGGGAAGTGGTAGGGATAAGAGTAGCTCTGACCAGGAAAAGGCAGAGGGTTGCCAGGGAAATTCCAAGGACAGGGTCCTAGGTGGCAGGAGGGAGTGGAGAATAGGCTAAAGGGACTCTGGGAAGAGAGAAAAGAGTAGAAAAACCATGGGTGGAATGGGGTAAAGTCTAGAGTCTGGTAACTGAAAAAGAGCTGGAGTGGTCTCCCTTGTTCACTTTTGTCCTCCCCATTATATATTCCTTATAAGGATTGATAATCTTTGTCCATCTTACTTACTCTCTCCTTTTTTTTTTTAAGATTGATTGATTGATTGATTGATACAAGAACTGGGGTATAGGCCAGAGGTGCCAGGGGTAAGAGGATTCACCAGAGACAGAGTGGGGAGCAAAACAGGCAGACTGACAGAAATACACTGGTGAGGGCCTCCCTGGCGGTGCAAGGGTTATTCCACACTGCACTATGAAGCAACCCACAGCCTCTGGAGCACGAGTTTGATTCCCAGTTGGCCAGGGTGAAACCCACATGGCGAGGCAGACCTCTCTTGACTCACCTGCCACTCCCCTCTGCAGTGTATTTCAGCCTGTTCTGCTCCCCACTCTGTCTCTGGTGAATCCTCTCAACCCTCCCACACACATCTGGCCTGTACCCCAGCTCTTGTATGCATAAATAGCTAAATCTAAGAAAGAAAGAAAGAAAGAGAGAAAGAGAGAAAGAGAGAAAGAGAGAGAGAGAGAGAGAGAGAGAGAGAGAGAGAAAGAGAGAAAGAGAGAAAGAGAGAAAGAGAGAAAGAGAGAGAGAGAGAGAGAGAGAGAGAGAGAGAGAAAGAGAGAAAGAGAGAAAGAGAGAAAGAGAGAGAGAGAGAGAGAGAGAGAAAGAAAGAAAGAGAGAGAGAGAGAGAAAGAAAGAAAGAAAGAAAGAAAGAAAGAAAGAAAGAAAGAAAGAAAGAAAGAAAGAAAGAAAGAAAGAAAGAAAGAAAGAAAGAAAGAAAGAAAGAAAGAAAAGAGTCACAACAATATTTATTCATTCCACAGACTCTAACTGAGCATTTATTATATGCCAGGTGCCACTGGAAGTGCTAGGAATAAACTGAAAAGACCTTGTTCCCCACTCATGAAGCTTATATGGAATTTAGAAGAGAGAGATATCCCAAAATGTGAACAAGTAAATAAATTTTAAAATGTGAAAAGAGCTATGAAAAATGAATGAGAGGGCCTCCCCTGGTGGCGCAGTGGTTGAGCGCTGGGCTGCGAAGCTGCCTGCAGCCTCTGCAGCGCCAGTTCAATCCCTGGCCACCGGTGAGGGTCCCACTTGGTGTGCAGACTTCTCCTGCCTCACCCTCTGCTCCCCTCAGCAGTGTATTTCGTCGGTCTGCCTGTTCTGTTTCCCTCTATGGTTCTGGTGAATTCTCTCACCCTCCTGCACTTCTGACTGTACCCCAGTGCTTGTCTAAATAAATAAATCTTTTTTTAAAAAGGTAAAATAAAAATTGATTTATTTTAAAAAAATGAATGAGAACCACAATGAGATATCACCTTACACCAGTGAGAATGGCTCATATTAAAAAACAAAACAAAACAGGAAACAACAAATGTTGGCAAGGATATGAAGAAAAAGGAACTCTTCTATACTGAGGGGGAATGCAAAATGGTCCAACCACTATGGAGGCTGCTCAGACTACTGAAAATAGAGCTACCATATGACCGAGCAATTCCACTCCTAGGAATCTACCCAAAGAACACAAAAAACATCAATTCAAAGGATACCTGCATCCTTATGTTTATTGCAGCACTATTTACAATGGGTAAGATATGGAAAAAACCCCAAACGCCCAAAAACATATGACTGGATCAAGAAGATGTGGTGTCTATACACAATGGAATACTATTCAGCAAGCAAAAAAGATAAGTTCATGCCATTCACAGCAACATGGATGGAGCTGGAAGGATTATGCTCAGTGAAATAAGCCAGAAAGGAAAAAGAAAAATATCAGATAGTTTCACCTAAGAAGGAAGGTAGGGGAACCAAATAAGGGATCAGGGTAAAAAAAATTATAATAAATTAAAAACAAAATTAGGGTCTCCCTGGTGGCGCAAGGGGTAAAGCACACCACTGTGAAGCTATCCACAGCCTCTGCAGCACGAGTTCAATCCCAGGGAGCTACCCACATGGCACAGCAGACCTCTCCTGTCTCGCCCACTGCTCCCCTCAGCAGTGTTTCAGTCAGTCTGCCTGTTCTGTTCCCCCCTGTCTCTGTCTGTCTCTGGTGAATCTGTTGTAGAGCAACCCCGATACAAAACGGGGTGCCTGACTGTGGGTCCTCACCAGCTCGCTTGAAAGGACTTATCAATGCTCTACTGCAGGCACACGCGAAAGGTTAATAAAGGTTTATTTACAAGGGAAGGGGAAATGAGGAAATGTACAGCTCAGGGAGAAAAGCGGGAGACAAAGTTTTAAATGCGTCCTACCCGATCCACCCATCAGGAATCCCAAAATGGCGCTCTGAGAGCTGGCCGCCAGCCAGGAGCAGTGAAGCCAGGAGGCTAGCGATAGCGAGCCCCCCAAGGCCCACGTGTTTGGTTTTTATATCCAACCTGGCTGCCCAACTCCACCCTCAGGTCCCTGCCACCCTCCCTTTGGTGGTGATGGGATTTGTCTTTCCCAATGTCCTGATGGCTTTAGTCTGGAGTGGGGGTGGAGTCCACAAAGCCTGTATGGGATTAGCTCAGGGCATCATTTCCCCCTAACAAATCCTCTCAACCTCCCCACCCCCCACTGTGCCTCTGGCCTACACCCCAGCTCTTGTATAAGTAAATAAATAAAATCTTTTAAAAAATAACAAAAATAGGGCCTCCCCGGTGGCACAGCGGTTGAGCGCTGGGTTGCGAAGCTGCCCGCGGCCTCTGTGGCGCCAGTTCAATCCCCGGCTGCTCCCCGGCCACCGGAGGAGGGTCCCACATGGCGCGCAGACCTCTCCTGCCGCCCGCTGCTCCCCTCAGCAGTGTACTTCGGTCCTTCTGCCTGCTCTGCTCCCAGCTCTGGCTCTGGTGAATTCACCCTCCGCACTTCTGACTGTACCCAGTGCATGTATGAACAAAACAAACAAACAAAATAAATAAATAAAACATGCCTCTATTAAAAAAAATAAAATAAAATAAAAAAATAAAAAATAACAAAAATAGGGCCTCCCCTGGTGGCGCAGCGGTTGAGCACTGGGCTGTGGGCAGCCTCTGCAATGCTGGTTTGATTCCCGGCCGCCAGCGAGGGTCCCAAATGGCGTGCAGACCTCTCCTGCTGCGCCCGCTGCTCCCCTCAGCAGTGTATTTCGTAGGTCTGCCTGTTCTGTTCCCCGCTCTAGCTCTGGTGAATTCTCTCACCCTCCCGCACTTCTGACTGTACCCAGTGCTTGTATAAATAAATAAATAAATATTTAAAAATAAAAATAAAAATAAATAAATAAAGTATACCTATGGGGCTTTTAAAGACCACAATGCCCAGGTGAGTTACTGTGATTCATAAGAAAAAAAAAAAATATATATATATATGTGTATTTGGTCACTCAAGACCAAATACATACATACATACATACAAACAAATATTTATATATATATATTTCTCAAACATATTTTATTTAGTTGGCTTTCCCTCAGGTTCCAGTCCCATGGCTTCGAAAATCCTTGGGCTTTCTTAAGTGGAATGTGAGTGATAAAGGTGACTTTTGTTATACTAATACTGTTTATATTTTGTTATGTTAATGAAGCAGCCTCGGACCCCGCCTAAGGATGGGCGTTGGTTGCCAGGATTAGAGGGTTGAAACTTTCATTTCCACCCTGACCTCCAGGAAGGAAAGAGAAGCTGGAGATTGGATCTATAGTAAACGGCTGTGAGTAAATCAATCATGCCTCTATACTGGCACCTCCATAAAATCCCCAAAGGATGAGGTTCTGGATTGGTGAAGAACTGGAGATTTGGGGAGAGCATTCCTTAGTGGGCGTATGGAAGCCCAGCACCCCTTTCCACACACTTTGCCTTGTGCATCTCTACTTCTACTGGGCTGTTCCTGAGTTATATCGTTTCATAATAAACCTGTAATCTAGTAAATAAACTGCTTCTTTAAATATTGTGAGCCGCTCGCTCTAATAAATCAATTGAAACAGAGGTGAGGGCCATGGAAACCTCTGCTTTACAGCTTGTCTGGCAGAAGCACCTGGGCTTGCAACTGGTTCTGAAGTTGGGGGGCAAGAGGTGCATGCAGTCTTGTAAGACTGAGCCCGATTGTGTAATGTAATGCTCTCCCCTATTAGGTTGCTCTACAACAGTACTAGAATTGAGTTGAATGTAAGATACCCAGATGATGTCCAGAAAATTGTTTGTTGTATATAGGGGGATCCCCACATTTGGAATTGGGTGATCAGGACACCAAAAAGAAAAATTCAGGGCACCCCTCCCTAAATCAGAGTGACTCAGGATGGGAGCCAGACAATGGTATTTTTTTTAAAGCTCCCAGAAAATTCTACTGTGTGGCAAAGTTTGGAAATAACTGATTTTTTTCTAATTTTTTTAATTGTTGAATGGTTTTTTTTTTTTAATAGAGGCATGGCTTTTATTTATTTATTTGTTTGTTTGTTTTGTTTATACATGCACTGGGTACAGTCAGAAGCACGGGAGGGTGGGAGAATTCACCAGAGCCAGAGCGGGGAGCAGAGCAGGCAGAAGGACCGAAGTACACTGCTGAGGGGAGCAGCGGGCAGCAGGAGAGGTCTGCGCGCCATGTGGGACCCTCCTCCGGTGGCCGGGGAGCAACCGGGGATCGAACCGGTGCTGCAGAGGCCGCGGGCAGCTTCGCAACCCAGCGCTCAACCGCTGCGCCACCGGGGAGGCCCGTTGAATGTTTTTAAATTGTGGTAAAGTAAATGTCACAGCTCTTATCCCAATTTTGCTTATGTCTATGTGGATGTCTCTTATAAACCTGTCCCTTTCAGATGCAGCTTTCTGTACCTTTGTGCCTATGTAAGCACCTTTTTCTCCTTCCTTTTTCCTAATAAACCAGACCTTTTAAAATTAATTTTTTTTTACTGTCTTAACAATTATAAGTGGACTGCTCAGTGGCATTCACATTTTGTACAACTATTTATCTATCTCCAGGAATTTTCCATCATCTCAAACAGAAACTCTGTGCCCATTAAACAATAATTCCCTATTCCTCTCCTCCCCACCTATGGCAACCACCACTCTACTTTCTATCTCTGAATTTGGCTATTTTAGGTATCTCATGAAAGTGGAATCAAGCAAAATTTGTCCTTTTGTGTGTGGTTTATTTCACTTAGCATAATGTTTTCAAGGTTCATGTTCTAGCAAATATCAGAATTGTGTTCCTTTTCAAGGCGAAATAATATTCCATTGCGTGAATATATATCACACTTTGCTTATCTATTCACCCGCTGATGGACCTCAACCACCTGTTGATGGTTATAACAGCCATCCCAATGGATGAGAAAGGGGGTCTCATTGTAGTTTGGATGTATATATCTCTATTAGAAACACTGAACATCTTTTCATGTGTTTATTGGACATTTTCATATCCTTGGAAAAATGTCTTTCCAAGTCTTTTGTCCATTTTTATACTGGATCGTTTGTTTTTTGATGAATTGGAGGAATTTCTCTCTATATATCAATGTTAATCATCATAAGTTATATGATTTACTTGATATGAACTTTCTTAAATAGTACACTTATTTGAAGAAGGTTATAAAAGGATGGCTGCATTATAAGAACAGTTTTTTACTAAACAAAATGAAACATCAAACATGTATTTTATAATTAGAGAAATGATCACTAAAATATTTTTGGTATTAAAGGTAGAGTCCTAGTAAACTTTTAGAAGTAATTGGTTTCATTTAGAAGTAATTGTTTCAACATGTATTGAGGGTCTCCTATGTGCCAAGTAATAGTCTCGAAGTTTCCTATCTGGTACCCAAGCAACAGGAAACACCCTACAGGGTGGACAGGTGTTGATCACAAACCCAGGATGCCACAGGTAGGCACCAGAGGGAGCTGCCTCACCCACTGGTAAAACCTGGGACAATTTGAGGATTAAAAGACACAATGATAGTAATGAGTTACAATCCACTCAATTAAATAAGAATCCTTTGAGCCCATACATACTGATAACAAACAAATATTGGATAAAGAAAAACTTTTATAATAGAATGTCTCTAAATAAATGGAAAAAGAATGATTGATTTAGAATAATTATCATTTTTACACCAATCATACTAATGATCCATTTAGCATCCATGGATGCTAGAATTGATAAGGAACAGGAATTTATAGCATTTCAAAGTATCCCTCCACAAATTGCTTAATATTTACAAAAGGGAAAAGGTACTTTTACAGTAGAGAAACATAGTGGCTATCACTAAACCCAGTGATCAAAAGCAACATCACTAATGAGACAAACTTAAACCACATGCCTCTTAGATGTAGTAAGAAACAAGACTTTTGGTATTTTTGCCAAAAATGCACAATTTAAGTCTAATTGTGAGACAAACCCAAACTAAGGAATATTCTACAAAATAAATGATGAGTACTCTTAAAAAATGTCATTGTTAGGGGAAGACTAAAAAACGGTGTAAAACTGCTCTAGATCAAAGAAATATGAAAATTAAATTCATTTCATTGTCCTGAAATGGATCCTGGCCCAGAAAACGAATTTATATAAAGGTCACTATTGGGACAATTGATAAAATTTGAAAAGGATCTGTATATTAAATAAGATAATGAATCTATGTTAAAATTTCTGATTTTGACAGTTTTCAATTTTTTCTAATTATGAGCAAATAAATATCTTTGTTTTTAGGAAATACATACTTAAGTATTTACAGATTAAAGGGCCGTGTTCTCAAATGTTCAGAAAAAAATATTGGATCTTTTTCCTTACATATGGAGAGAAAAATAAAAATGTAATCAAACGTTAATGATGGCACAAATGGGTGAATTTGAAGATTTAGATATACAGGGATTTTAAAATAGATTTTTCTGTAAATTTGAAACTTTAAAAACAATTTTTAAAAAATTAAGTCATCCTTTAATCCCATCTGCATCTACTACAGATGTAATCTTGGATAAACCCTAAAACCTGTCAGTGCTTCTAGAGATTAGCTTTCAGTACTGTCTCGGGATGGTTTTTAAATGGTAGCTAAACTGTTAAATAAAATTAATTTTGGGCAGAAGAGAGTCTGCGATACCTCCCTTCCGTAGCCCCGAGGTCCCTAAACACCAAAAGGAAAGTCTGGGGGTGTGGAGGAGCGCCTGGTGCGCAGGACTCGGGAGGCTGAGGAGATTAAGGGCGTCGAACGGGCCTGCACACCTGAGCGTCCTCAGCCCGCCCGAGTCAATCAGGGCCGGAGCCAGGATTTGAGGAAGTGCTCAGCCCGGCGGCCTCGGCCTCAGTCTCTCCCGGGAATCTCCCAACTTCGGCCGGGCTAGCGCGCTGCTCCATAACGGTGGACCTGAAACTCCAGCACCTCGACTTCTGGGCCAGCCTCCATGGCCAAGTCCCGGGACTGCTGGACTGGGACATGGGGAACGAGCTCTTTCTGGCCTTCACCACCTCGCACCTGCCCCCCGCCGAGCAGAAACGTGAGTGCCCAGCTGGGTGGGGGAGGGGCGGCCGCCATAGACGGGGGTCCGGGTCTTGGGGGAGCACCCAGCCCCCCTGCACCCCAGCCTCGGCTCTCCTCCCCACTCAGGACCAGCCCCGATGGTAAGACTGCTCGAATCTGGGGGCCCTGCACCCCCGCCTTGCGGCGTTCCGGAACCCCACCCCCACCCTCCCGCTTGGCTGGTGGGGGGACCCCGTACCCCGACTGCAAGCCCGCTGAGGGCAGCGGGTCCCACCGCCGCTCCCAGCTCTACCCCACCAGCCCTAAGAGAACTTTGTGCCTAAGAGAACTTTCTAGGCCTCTTCTCGACCTTTGCTCCATGGCGCGCTAACGCCATTTGGCGATGTTTTACTTATTTTCCTCTTCGAAAAAACAAATCATTATCAGGTCTGTACGTGGCTGTACCCTCACCTCTTAATACATCACCTGACGCCTAGAGGGGCTCATTATTTGCTGAATGGGTGGTTGACCAAGGTGGACTTTTTAAAAATGTTTTATTCTCTTTCAACTTGAAGTGCAAGAGGGTTGGATTATCACCTCCTCTGTGGGTGTACATTATTGCCTTCTGTGGGGACAAGGTACTTGGATTAGCTCACCCTTTGTACACCCCCCCCCCACCAGCACTACCTCCCATATAGCCACCCTTATGGATGAACTGTCTTTAGGTATGTGTATCTTTGAAGAGATTTAGCATTATTTGTGTGTACTGGTGACCTTAATTTCCATAATGCTCATTGCTTCCCCCCACCTCCCCTGCTCATTGTTTTTTGAGAGCTCTTCATGTTGTTGAGTGTAGATCTGCAGTCATCACTTCTGACTGCTGCGTAGTATTCCATATTTGCATATACAGCTTTTGCATTTTCCTGACAAGGGAAACCTAGACTGCCTCCAGCTCCTTACACAGGGACCATGCTAATCTTCTCTGTGTGGCTCCAATTTTAGTTTATGTGCTGCCCAAGCAAGCATTGCCTCCCACTCTTTGCCACCATAAGCAACAATTCCTATAACCAGGGTAGCCTAGTGCTGAGATGGGAAGGCTTCTGGTTACACAGGTTTAGGGGAAGATCAAGATTTCTGGTGAGCATGCAGAGTGTGAGGTACTTTTTATATATCCCAGTAAAAATGTTGAGTAAACAGGTAGATGTATTGAGTCTGGAGACAGGTGTGGACTGCAGATATAAATTTTGAGTCTTTGGTATAGGGGTGTCATTTAAGAAGTGAGAATGGAGAAGAGAGACCCACACTTCAAGGGTGACCCCCAAGGGCATTTCATTGTAAAGAGATTGGAGATGATATAATAAGCAAAAGGAAATGGCCATTGAAAATCTAAGAAAGGGTTTGCCCTTTCCTAGAAACCAAGGAATGAAAGAGTTTCAGGGAAAGGAGTGGTCAGCTAAGGGGAATGGTGCTTAGGGGTCCAGATAAGATGTGGGCTGACTATTGGATTTAGTGAAGTGGGGAATTGGGTTTAGCAAAGTAAATGTCATTGCTGACCTTGGTAATATAGTCATTTTGGTGGAGTGGTGAGGCAAAAACCTTATTGGCAAGGGTTTAAGAGTAGAAGGAGTGAGACTGGAGACAAAATACAGGGAGTTCTTTCAAAGAGCTCTGCCTGCCTCAAAAGAAAGCAAAAATATAGAAGAATAGTGGTCTGGCACAGAAAGTAGGGACAAAAGAAGTTCTTGTTTTTATAAAATAAGACAATTAACAGCATTGTTGAATGCTGCTGAAAATGACCCAATAAAGGCAAAGGAGATCACTGGAACATTGTCCCTGAGAAGGAACAAGGTATCTGTGTTTGTGGAAGCGGGGAGAGACACAACAGACAGGCCCTATCTTTTTTTTTTTTTAAGATTTATTTATTTATACAAGAACCAGGATACAGGCCCAATGCACTGGGTGAGGGGCGGGGGTGAGAGGATTCACCAGACCAGAGCGGGAACAGAACAGGCAGACTGATGAAATACACTGCTGAGGGGAGCAGCGGGCGAGACAGGAGAGGTCTGCTGTGTCATGTGGGACCCTCGCCTGCCGGCACAGGCCCTACCTTTTGATCTGCTGAGACCACCCATCTGTTAATCTTGTCACACTTTCATTTTATGCTGTCAATCACTTGAGGTCCTCTTTTCTTTAACTTGGAATCCACCTCGACATGCTAGCTTTCTGACATACCATCAATCCTTTGACCGTCTATGGCTTTGGAGCTCTGTTTGGCCAAATTACAATCCTAATTTAATCCAAGTCTACGAAGCAAGTATTGCAAAGCCATAGATGATGGATTGGTAATACCAGTGGCATCAAAGGATAGCTGGAGTTGAGAAGAAGTTAGGTAGCAAGATTGCAGGTAGTGCATTTTTATTGATAGAAAAATGAGAGAGATTGGAGAGGACAAAATAGGCTGCAGTTACTGGTTTAAGTTGACATTGAGAGAGGAACTGTCTCAAGTATGATGGAAAGCCAAGTTTTTGGAGGAGTTCAAGGAACTAAGAAAGCAAAGATTTGAAGCAAGGGGTAGTACTAGTGACCCAGAGCAGAGAGTTAGATTTCCGTAAAAGAGCAGGGGTGAAGGAGAGTTTGGTAGATGACAGTAACAACGATTAATGCATAAACTTGAATGTACACACACAGAAGTAGACAGCAAGGTATGGTAAATGATAATCCTGTCTGATTTTTTTTTTTAAGATTTATTTATTTCTGCACATAAGACCTGGGGTATAGGCCAGAGGTGCAGGGAGTGAGAGGATTCACCAGAGACAGAGTGGGGAGCAGAACAGGCAGATCTACTGAAATACACTGCTGAGGGGAGCAGCAAGCAAGACAGGAGAGCTCTGCTGTGCCATGTGGGTTAACTCCCTGGCTGGGGATCGAACTCATGTTGCAGTGGCTGGCATAGCTTGATAGTGCTGAGACTTTACTCCCTGTGCCACCAGGGAGGCACGTACAGAATTTTTTTTTTTTAAGATTTATTTATGCATACAAGAACTGGGGTACAGGCCAGAGGTGTGGAGGGTGAGAGAATTCACCAGAGACAGAGTGGGGAACAGAACAGGCAGACTGACTGAAATACACTGCTGAGGGGAGCAGCGGGCGAGTCAGGAGAGGTCTGCTGTGGCATGTGGGTATTCTCCCTGGCTGGGGATCGAACTCTTGTTGCAGTGGCCGCCGATAGCTTCATAGGCTGTGTCTTAACCCCTTGTGCCACCAGGGAGGCCCACATACAGAATTCTTGATGTAAAGTATTCTCAGTGTATTCTGTTTTTTATTTTATGTTTTCCCTTTTTTAATACACCATATTTGTTCATTATTTATAAAGAGCAACTATTCTTTTTTATTTTATTTTATTTTTTTTCTTTTTATAGAGGCATGTTTTATTTATTTATTTGTTTGTTTGTTCGTTTGTTTTGTTTATACATGCACTGGGGACAGTCAGAAGCGCGGGAGGGTGAGAGAATTCACCAGAGCCAGAGCGGGGAGCAGAGCAGGCAGAAGGACCGAAGTACACTGCTGAGGGGAGCAGCGGGCGGCAGGAGAGGTCTGCGCACCATGTGGGACCCTCCTGCACCATGTGGGACCCTCCTCCACCATGTGGGACCCTCCTCCGGTGGCCGGGGAGCAGCCGGGAATCGAACCGGCGCTGCAGAGGCTGCGGGCAGCTTCGCAACCCAGCGCTCAACCGCTGCGCCACCGGGGAGGCCCAAAGAGCAACTATTCTTTAGTCCAGATATTCCTGTTTCATAGTTTAGGAACACAAAACAGCGACAAATCTCTATGGAAGTCAACCCAAAGAAAATCTTCACATTCCAAAATCACTTTGCACTCTGAAAGGTACCAGCCCTTCTTCATCTCAAAATCTTTCTGCAAATCAAAATTTCCGTAGAACTCTGTATTTACCTTCTTTCTTGGTTCAACCACAGCAAACGTAGAGAAAGCGACACCCTCATGGATACACCCTCCGAAAACATGAAGTCGCAGGAGGCCAAACTTGTGAGGTTTGGTCAAGGCACTGGAAGCCTTGGTGTTAACCTCAGTTTGTGGTCCTTCCAGCCTCTATTGTATTCATATTATCTATAAGGCTAAGCATCTTGTATCTCCCCCTTGTGAATACTGAATCATGTCTTTTGCCCATGTATAGGTTTGTGTTAGCTCTTACTAATTTGTAGAACTGAGAACTTTGAGTAAATTTTTTTCTGGTTTATTGTATTTTTTTTTTCCTGTGACTTTTACTCTGCAGAATGTTTTGATTTTTAGTGTTACAATATTTGCTAAAAATGTATGAATTAGAAGGTAATTGACTTAATATATATTGTGTGTTTATTCAGGTCTTTTGTGTCCTTAAATATTGATTGCATCTTTTTTTCCATGAAGGTCTAGTTCATTCTTTAAATTAACTACTAGAGTCTTTATAATTTTGTTGGCTTTGTGAATATTAACTTTCAATTTTTTCCAGTTTTTTTTGTTGTTACCATAGATTATTGAAAATCCTAAGGTAGGTTTTGGGGTTTTGTAAGATTTTTTTTTTATGCATACAAGAACTGGGGTGTAGGCCAAAGGTGCAGGGGGTGAGAGGATTCACCAGAGACAGAGCAGGGAGCAGAAAAGGTAGATTACTGAAATATACTGCTGAGGGGAGCAGGAGGCAAGGCAGGAGTGGTCTGCTGCACCATGTGGGTTAGCTCTCTGGCCAGGGATCAAACTCATGGATCAAACTCATGCCACAGTGGGCTTTCCATTCCATTGGTCTGTGTTTTTGTTTTTGATTACCATCAGTTTATAATATAGTTGATATCAGGTTGTGTGGTACCTCCATTTTTCTTCTTTTCTCTCAGGATTGCATTGCCTTTTTGTGGTCACTTTTGATTGAATGACATTACTTATTCTTAGAGATGCATGAAATTGCAATTTCCATTGCTCTTCCTGCCTTAATTCATAACTATGCCTTCACTCATAACCAGGTTTATATCTGGTACCATTTTCTATCTGCCTTCCTTTGATATTTCTTGCAGTGCACATCCATTGGTTATTAACTCTGAAAGTTATTTCTCCTTTTTTTGAAATATACTTTTGTAGAATTTAGAAATCTAGGTTGTCAGTTTTATTCCTTCTATTTATTATTCTCTAAAGATTTCTCTCCTGGCTTTCATTGTTAAGAAGAAATACACTGTCATCCTTGTCTTCATTCCTGTATAGGTAAAATACCTTATTTCCTCTGGCTATCTTTAACATTTCTTCCTTTTTTTTTTTAAAGATTTATTTATTTATTTATACAAGCATTGGGTACAGTCAGAAGTGCGAGAGGGTGAGAGAATTCACCAGAGCCAGAATTCACCAGAATTCATAGGCAGACTGATGAAATACACTGCTGAGGGGAGCAGCGGGCACGGCAGCAGAGGTCTGCACGCCATGTGGGACCGGCGCCCAGTGGCCGTGGATCAAACCGGCGCTGCAGAGGCTGAGGGCAGCTTTGCAGCCCAGCGTTCAACCGCTGCACCACCAGGGGAGGCCCAGATCCGTGTGTTTATAGTTTTCATGAAATTTGGATAATTTTCATTTCTTCAAATATTTTTATCCTCCATATTTCCTCTCCTTCAGGGCTTCCTTATGCAATTAACTTAGGCCACTTGAAATTGCCAAATTGCCTCGTAGCTCACTAATGGTCTATACAAAAAAGATGTCATCTTTTTTTCCTTCTGTTACATTCTGGAAAGTTTCTATTGCTGTATCTCCAAATTCTCTAATCTTATGTCATGTCTAATCTGCATTAATCAAACCACTGTATTTTTCAACTTAGACGTTGTAGTTTTCATATCTCGTGGTTCATTTAGGGTCCCATAGCTTCCATGTGTCTATTTTACACGTTTAATCTTTTATGTCTTGAACATATGGAATTCAATGAGAATAATTGTCTTGATGTCCTTATCTACTAACTCTCCCTCTGATTTGTAGGTTGGTGTTTATTGAGTGATATTTTTCTTCCCATTATTCATCTTACTTTCTTGCTATTTTGAATTCCTAGTAGTAACTTTGATTGCATGCCAGACATTGTGAATTTTACTTTGAGTGCTGGATATTTTTGTATGTCTATATATAACTGTTCTGGAGCTTTGTTCTGGGACATAGTTAAGTTACTTGGAAACAGTACGATCTTTTTGGGTTTGCTTTAGGCTTTGTTAGGTGAGATCAGAGCAGTTGTCAATATTTCTTTACTACTAAGGTAAAACCCTTCTGAGTACTCTAATGTCCCAGGAATTGTGAAGTTTTCTCCCATAATGGAAACAGGAACTATACCCAGCCCTGTGTGAACTCAGGAGGTCTCTGTGCACTTTTCTCCTCTCTGCTATTCTGTTCTATAAGCTCGAGCCACCTTGGTCTCCCTGATCTCCAAGCCCACCTCCTCAAGCAAGGAAACAAGGCCCCCCACTATGATTTCCAACTTCTTAAATGCTGGTATAGACAAAGAGTATTTAAAGATTTATTTTTATGCATAGAACTGGGGTGTAGGCCAGAGTTGTGGAGGGTGAGAGGATTCATTAGAGACAGTGGGGAGCAGAACAGCAGGATCGACTGAAATACACTGCTGAGGGGAGCAGTGGGTGAGATAGAAAAGGTCTGCTGCACCATGTGGGTTAGCACCCTGGCCAGGGACTGAATTCTTGCCATAGTGGTTGAAGATAGCTTGATAGTGCTGAATCTCTAACCCCTGTGCCACCAGGGAGACCCTATGGTTTCTAGTTTAATCTTTTTTTTCCTATACATAATAGTCATTTTGCCCTTTTCTTTCCAACTTCCTCAGCTTTTCCCATTTTTAAATACTGTATTGAATACTAGCAAGGTAATGAATATCACTTCTAATTATTGAGCCCTCCAATAAATGTCATCATTCACCAGAACCCCCCCCCCCAAAAAAAAAAAAAAAAGCTAGATTCATCTGTAATAGAATGACACTCATGGAACAATGAGGGAGACAAAAATAGTTCCCTTTAATCCCAAGGAGCCACCACAACACCAAGCAGATAGCTCTAATATACACCTGATTGGCTTTTAGACTGGTGGCCTATATGTTCCTCATTCGATTAAGTGGAGTTCTTCCCAGGTGCCAAGCAGTGAACAAGACAGATCTGGGGCTAGACACTAAGCAACTAATTACAATAAAATGAGTGACATGGGAGTGTTTAGACAGGTGATCAGAGAAGGTCTGCTTTAGAAAGATGTCTAATCAGAGACATTATAGGTGAAGTAGCAATTAACTAGGCAAGCAAGAAGAGGGATGGGTATTTCTAGCAAAGGAAAGAGTTTGTGGGAAGGCTCCTGATCTAGAGTGTGGTCTGTTAGAGATGGGTGGAAACACTGGAAGGAAGAATTCAACACCAGTGAAGAGCCAGGGCTTTCTTTGTAGACTTGTCACAAGGAGTTAAGATTTGACTCAAGGGCAATGGAAAGTCATCAAAAAGTTTTTGGCAGAAGGGTTGCACAGATCACTCAAACTGCAGTATGGTACCTATGGTAGCTTAAAGAGGATAAACACCATTTCAGGTATGGCTTATACTAGGCTGGTAGGACTTCATTGATTTCATGGAACTGTACCAAAAGAATCAAGAACATTTCCAAGTGTCTGACCTGAACAGCTGGTTAGATGCTGGTGCCACTTGCCAAGATGAGGGATACAGGAAGAAGAGCAGGAAGAGGGAGCTTAGTTTTTAAAATGATTTCAAAGTACTTGCAGGTTACCCAAGTAGAATAGTACATCCAATAGGCAATTGGCAGGAAGTCTTGGGGGCCTCCCTGGTGGCTCAAGGGGTTCAGTATCAGCACTATGAAGCTGTCAGGAGCCACTGCAGCACAAGTTCTATCCTGGGCCAGAGAGCTGGTCCACATGGCACAGCAGACCTCTCCTGTCTCACCCGCTGCTCTTCTCAATCAATCCACCTATTCTGATCCCCTGCGCTGTCTTTGGTGAATCCTCTGAATCCCCTGCGCCCTGCACCCCTGGCCTACACCCCAGCTCTCATATGCATAAATAAATAAAAAAATACATAAAATATTTTTTAAAAATAGGCACGAAGTCTGGACTAGAGGTAAAAATTTGGAGGCCCTTAGTTTCTAGATGGTAAACAACGAAGCCACAACCATTCCTTAATGAGATCCTTCAGGGCAGCATATGTGAGAAGAGAAGAATGTCGATGAGAATGAGAAAGTCTGGGAGATACAGGGAAAACCAGTAGAATATGGTTGATGTCAGCTCCCCAACAGGGCCCAGAACCATCTCTAGGAGCTTCAAGACCCAGGGTCCTAGGACCACAATGGAAATCCTAAGCTGTTTTGATCCTCTTGTCTTTCTTTTTGCCAGTTGCCAGATACAAACTGCGAATAGTTGAGCCACCAAAGCTACCACTAAAAAAAAAACCCAATCCTGATAAAGATGGTGAGTAGAGGGGAGTAAGTTCTCTGACGTGGCCCTGTGACCTAGGCTGGACACCAGGGTCAACCAAAGCCAGTGAGCTGAGGTCCAGTCACCTTTCTTTTTGCACAGGTCCAGATATTGAGCCCAACCTGTGGATGTGGGTAAACCCCAACATCGTGTTCCCCCCTGGAAAGCTGGAGGTATCAGAACGTACTAAAGGAGAGGATCGGATGAGCACAGTGCCTGACCCTCAGCTACCTCCCAAAGAGGAAGATGTTGACAACTGCTCAGAGGCCACCGTGGTGGAACTGCCGCTGCCTTCCTCCTGTGAGCAGTCCCCTCCTCAGAAGCGGAAGCGGCTTGCCTCTTCCTTCAGCAACTGGGAGGTAGGGATTTCTGCTGGTGAGGGCCAGACTTGGGCTATAGGCAGGGTGGGGATAGGGACAATGCATCAGAGAGTTCTCTCTTCTTAAAGATAATAATGGGTTACTGGGTTCAGAAAATAGTTGTGCCCTTGGGTTGGGGAAGCCCAGACGGTGGCGCTAGCCCACCACCCCTTCTTGCCATTGCACCCCTGGAGTAGAGGCTGTGGAGTCAGGACCAGTTCCTACTCTGTGCTCCTCTAGCTCACAGAAGAGGAGGAGGCTGAGAACCAGGATGACAGCTCCTCTGTGGCTTTCCCGTCCTCTCACAAAAGGGCCCCCCTCCACAGTCGGAGGCTTCGGCACGCCAACAGCCAGGAGGGCAGGCTCTGGTCCCGGCCCCCTCTCAATTACTTCCACCTAATTGCACTGGCATTAAGAAACAGTTCCCCTTCTGGCCTCAACGTGCAACAGATCTACAGTTTCACTCGGTATGTGCCAGGGGCCCTGTGAGGAGGAGGGGTTGGGGTGGGGGTCAGGGCCCTTGGTCTGATACCTTCCAGTCTATCCTAGGCCCTAGGCCACTGCCTCAGTTCCCCCATCTGGATCTAAGAGGACAAGTGCACGCCCAGTTCTCCAGGCACTGGTTCTGGTTTGTTCCCAAAAACATGTCCACATATCTCACGCACAGGAAGATAGCTACCCCACCCCCTTTTACATCTAAACAACTCCAACCTTTTTATACCTTAGTTCTTTCAAACAAATTTCACCTAGGTAAGTCATTTCTCCTATCTTTCCTCTCAGGATTATAAAATCGGTTTTCCCAAGAGCTCCCTGTACCCCCAGGAAAGCCCTTTAAGAAGGGATTGACTTTCAGCTTTGATGCTCCTGTGCACATGAGTATGAGGAAGTTTCTCAGGCCTTCCACCTATCAGGACAGTCTCAGAATATCACTCTTCAAGAGGTGCCCCTTCTTGACCAGGGTTTCCCCCATGGTAGTTGGTAGAGACCTGAATCTGCTTTGTTCCTATTGCAAGTCAAAGTCCCCAGCCTTTGGAGGGAGAGAGAAAAATTGAACCTGGGAATGGGGTAAGCAAGCTGGGTTTAAAAGATGAGAGTTTGCATAAGCCATACACCTGGGGAGGTTTTGCCATGTGTCCAATCAGCAGAAAGCTGTTCTAGGCCAGCTTGTCATTCTTTGCCTTCAGAGAAGGGCTGAGATCCTAGTCCCTGGGGAGAGAACATGCTCAAGGGTAGGCATCTCCCAAGGAAACTATGCCTTTCCTTATGACTTTTTCCTGTTCACAGACAACACTTCCCATTTTTCCGGACGGCTCCAGAAGGCTGGAAGAACACCATCCGTCACAACCTCTGTTTCCGAGACAGCTTTGAGAAAATTCCTGTCAGCATGCAGGGGGAGGCAGCCAACACACGACCTCGATCCTGCCTCTGGAAGTTGACTGAAAGGGGAAACCGTCGTTTTTTGGAGGAGGCCCGTGCCTTGTCTTCCACTCGGCTGGAAACTATCCAGCAGTGCATGAGTCAGCCAGGTGTGAGGCCCCTTCATATGAGGGGCTGAGGGAGGGAACCTGATGATCCTGACCCAAGGCTGAGTGGAAGGCAGGAGCCTAGGGCACATCATGGCGGGGGGCACCTTCTGTGAGCAGGTTAGCACCTTCTAAGACCTGGAGGTGGGACCCACACATACACAAATATGGGAGTGAGGTACAGGTAGTTGCTGGAGAAACAATGAAGGTACAATTGGCCCTACTCATAGCCCAGCATCTCAGAGAAATGATAACCACACACTGTGAGAAACATGGGGTGAAGGGTTATGTGCAAATGGAAATTTTTCTTTCCCAGAGGCCAGGTGGCATTTGGGCTTTGAGAGGGGGGAAGTAGCTATCTGTGTGAGAGAGAGAACATTCCAAGCTCAGGGAAAGACAGCAATAAAAGGCACATTCTTTTGACACTCTTCTTTTCTTACAGATGTGATGCCCTTCCTCTTTGACCTATGACTCCAAATAGCAGGAGTCACTCCATGCCTTATTAAAGTTATCTGCAGCATCCTAGTATATGTGTGTGATCTTTGACAACAGAGAGAGGGAGAGGTCAGCTCTGAGGTGGAAATGGAATGCTCCTCGTGAGTTGGATACATGATAGATGTTCTGGATACAGTGGGCAGTTGCCTGCTATGTTGCAAAGGAAGCCCATACTCTAAAAGGAAGAAAATATGGTGCTACCATGGTAGGGAATAATTGGGCAGGACCATAATTTAGCATACCTGATTGTCTATTGTGTGTATCACTTCCCATTTTTCTGGATTACCAAGGGAGTCTTGGCAGATGCTAGCTTGCAGCATTGCCAAAGGCCCAAAGAAGCACCATCTACTCATAGGAGAGGTTGTATTTATGTGGAGACAGGGCAGAGCTGCCTAGGGAAGCATGGCTTGTAGGACAGCTGGAGGAAAGACAGACTCATAGGAGGTGTGAATGATCACTGAGAAAGGGAGAGGAAAGAATTTCTTGAAAAGGGGAATAGTCAGGCTTAATTCTCATTCCCACTCTCCCATTTACCATGGGGGTGAGAGGTGGGAGCCCAGAGCTAAGTTGTACTGTGTGACTCCACCATGCCCTTAGCAGAAGCTAGAGTACTTGTGAGTTAAGAGTCCTTAGAGGGCCTCCCTGGTGGCCCAGGGGTTGAGTCTTAGAGCTATCAAGCTATTGCCAGCCACTGCTGCATAAGTTCGATCCCCCGTCGATCCCCCGGCCAGGGAGCTACCCACATGGCGCAGCAGACCTCTCCTGTCTTGCCCGCTGCTCCCCTCAGCAGTGTATTTCAGTCAGTTTGCCTGTTCTGCTCCCCACTCTGTCTCTAAGGAATCCTCTCACTCCTCGCACCTCTGGCCTATACCCCAGTTCTTGTATGCAACTATCATGTAAAATGAAAGATGACTGTATATATAGGTATCAAACAGCATCATGTTCTTTTTTGGCTTGGGAATTCACCAAGTTTGCGATTTCAGAAAAATCTCTGACAGCAATGCTGCTCTGGTATTTAGCTAATACACATGCCTGTATGGGTTTGTGTCTGTTGCATTCACGGGGATTCTACATGCACAACAAATATTAAGCTATTATTTCAAGATAGCCAATATAAAGTGAAAGTATTTTCAATATTCATTGAATATTGAATATCTCTTTAAGCTATTCACTATAAATATGTGAATTTCCAAATATCTCATGTTTTCAAGTAAAGTTTTCCCATTGAAATGCACTTTATTATATATTTCTCTCCCTTTATATATTTTATATAATAATATAATAATTATAATAATATATAATATATATTACTTTATTATATATTTCTCTCCCTTTGTCAGTAAGATTCATTTCAGGATGGTAAACCTTGTCTTAAAAAATATTTGCTCTATTCCTAGGGTGTTAAGATTGATAGAGAACCACTAAATCAAGCAATGTATAAGAAATAGTTTCTGTCCCAGAGGTATTTACCCATGGTGACAGTGGCAACCAGTGAGAACAACACAATGGAATAACTCACATTCATGTCCAAACCCACAGAGCCTGCCTAGCATGGTGCCTGATATGCACTGTTAAGCTATGAATTGTCACTAGTGACTTAACAGGCAGATCCCATATTCTCTGGAAACACAGAGGAAAGAGCAGTAACCTGTCTGGAGCGGGGTGGAGAAGGAATGGACAGATGCTCCGAGGAGGCTGAGGATGTAGGGAAGAGTTGGGGTGGGATGGGAAGAAAGAGTGACTTGTGCCAAGGAAAAGACTCATGCAGGGCCTCCCCGGTGGCACGGCAGTTGAGCGCTGGGTTGTGAAGGTGCCCACAGCCTCTGCAGCGCTGCACAGACCTCTCCTGCCGCCCGCTGCTCCCCTTAGCAGTGTACTTGTCAGTCTGCCTGCTCTGCTTTCCCCTCTGGCTCTGGTGAATTCTCTCACCCTCCCACGCTTCTGACTGTACCCAGTGCTTGTATAAATAAATAAATCTTAAAAAAAAAAAGACTCATGCAGATGCCCAGCTGGGGCAAGTTGGGAACTGCTTTTCCCTGGCCTGCCTGGAGGTGCTTTGTGGTAAATTTCTCCTCCTTGACTGTCTTGATGCTAATTTTTTTTTAAAAAGATTTATTTATTTTTGCATACAAGAACTGGGGTGTAAGCCAGAAGTGTGGGAGGTGAGACGATTTAACAGAGACAGAGTGGGGAATAGAACAGGCAGATCTACTGAAACACACTGCTGAGGGGAGCAGCAGGGAGATAGGAGAGGTCTGCGGCACCATGTGGGTAGCTCCCTGGCCAGCCGGGGATCAAACTCAAGCTGCAGTGGCTGGCAATAGCTTGATAGCGCTGTTTTTTAACCCCTGTGCCACCAGGGAGGCCCCTCAATACTAATTTCTGTGTATGTGCACTAGAGGAGTGGTTTAGGGACTAGATCATTAGTGTCATTCTGTCATTCACTCTGGGCTGGACCTGTGCAACCAGAAACCACTCTTACTACCTTGGTCTATCCTGCTCCCTAGAAGGAGAAAATCCCTGGTCCTAAGCTCTGATTTCATCAGATTTGCCTCTGGTGTCCACCTCACCTGTGTTTTATGCACATCCTTATTCCTGCCCACTTCTACTGATGTCTAGTTTAAGTTGCAAATGGATCCCCAAAAAGCAACAGGTCAGAGGAAAGAGAAAAGCATAGGCTGTGTGGAAAAGTGACTCAAATATCTACCATGGGTCTTCGTACCCTCTCATAGAATCTTCTACCCTCATCTCCTTTTCAGTCATTGGACAACTGTTTTGAGTTTTCAATATTAGGCTTTGTGCCAGGTGCTGAGGCTACAGTGAAACCTAAAATGGTTCCTCAGAAATTCCAGTCTAGATAGAAAGACATATTGAACAGACACACTAATAATATAAAACATTAATAAGACTGGGCTGTTGTGATTAGATTAGAGAGAGGTTAGAGGAGCCTTTCTAAGAAACATTTTAACTAAAACCTGGATAATGGAGAATATAAAGGAAAAGTGTTCTTTTGGAGGAAACAGAATGAACAAAATTCAGAAGGTTGGGCCCTCCTCACCTTAACCTATTGACAGAATAGGCATATTGGCATAGAAAATGTTTTGGGGGAGGGCCTCCCCGGTGGCGCAGCGGTTGAGCGCTGGGTTGCGAAGCTGCCCGCGGCCTCACCGGCGCCGGTTCGATCCCCGGCTGCTCCCCGGCCACCAGAGCAGGGTCCCACATGGTGCGCAGACCTCTCCTGCCGCCTGCTGCTCCCCTCAGCAGTGTACCTCAGTCCTTCTGCCTGCTCTGCTCCCTGCTCTGGCTCTGGTGAATTCTCTCACCCTGCCGCGCTTCTGACTGTACCCAGTGCATGTATAAACAAAACAAACAAACAAATAAATAAATAAAAACATGCCTCTATATAAAAAAAAATGTTTTGGGGGAAAAAAATGAAAAAAATAAAATATAGGTATCAAACAGCATTAGATAACTTTGATGATGGGGGTACAACATATAAGAAATAATCACTATAGCCTCTAGGCTTTTTACAAAGAGAAATTACTTTTTATGATTTTTAAATAGTTACCCACTAGCCTGTTTTATAGTTTGATACTATTCATTAGAGGGTTGCTTCACTTCCCTGCACAAAGTCCCATCCCAAGGGCAGTAACCCCAGGGCCACTGAGGTCTTCATGAGTTTACCTTAATCTGATGAACAAGCATAAGAAGACCACTTCGTGGTAATTTTAGGCAGTGACTATGAACAAGATAGAGTTACTGCACTTGAGAAGCTTTTTTTTTTTTTTTTTTTTTTTTTATTTGTTTGTTTGTTTATACATACAAGCACTGGGTACAGTCAGAAGTGCGGGAAGGTGAGAGAATTCACCAGAGCGGGGAGCAGAGCAGGCAGAAGGACCGAAGTACACCGCTGAGGGGAGCAGCGGGCGGCAGGAGAGGTCCACGCGCCATGTGGGACCCTCCTTCGGTGGCCAGGGAGCAGCCGGGGATTGAACTGGCGCTGCAGAGGCTGCGGGCAGCTTCGCAACCCAGCGCTCAACCGCTGCGCCACCGGGGAGGCCCTTGAGAAGCTTTTTAACTGTTGGATTTTCAGATAACTACTAAACAAAAATGACACCAGGATGGGCTTCGGAATTGAATAATTAATTCTGCAGGGACAACTCTGGAAGGCTTCACAAAAAGGATGACATTTCATTTACTCAATAATGAAGAATAGCTTATGAAGGGATTGAGAGTTTACCAAAGTCACCAGCCTCATGGAAATTTCATTCCAGAAATTTCATTCATATTTCAGAGCTTTGTATTATAACTGGGAGGAAGTGGCTGGAAGGAATTCTAACCAGTGGGACCCAAGGACAGGAGATACTCAAGTGCATAAAAGAAGAGGACTGGGGCCTCCCCAGTGGCGCAGCAGGTTGAGTGGTGCGCTGTGAAGCTGTCTGCAGCCTCCGCAGCCTCCCAGTGCCGGTTTGATTCCCGGCAGGCCAGGGAGAATCCTACATGGTGAGGCAGACCTCTCCTGTCTCACCCTCTGCTCCCCTCAGCAGTGCTTTTGGTCTGTCTGCCTGTTCTGCTCCCCTAGGTGTCTCTGGTGAATCCTCTCATCCTCCCACGACTCTGGCCTGTACCCAACCCTCATATAAATAAAAATAAATCTTAAAAAAAAAAAAAAAGAGGAATGCTGGAATACTGCCTGGAGGAGTGGGGTGGAGAGGTCAGGGAACGGTTCAGGGAATGGTGAGAAACCAGGCTGAAAAGAAAACTGAAAATTATATTGTAAAAAGCTTTGGAAGTCATTCTGGAAAGTTTAGATTATTCCTGAAGTCAATTTAGAGGCATTAGATTAATCAAGAAAATCATTCTACAGACTTTTTTAAGACCAGAATCTGGAAGATAGAACTACAGTAGAACTGATACTTGGAAACCACTTAGAAAGATTTCACCTGATCCAAGCAAGAGAGGAAGGACATTGAAGTAAGGTATGTTCTACAAATATTTAAAAGTTGAGAACCGACTTTAAACATCTCAGAAATTCAATAATACAAGCTGTGCAGTGTGGACATAGGAACTGAGTAAGGGTTATTGTCAAAACTCACCACAAAACTCCAGGCTTTAGCTTGATGGTGTCACTCACAGAGAGGATGAAAATAGGGATGTTCTCAAGAGGAAGATGTTGAGTTCCATTTCACACAAGTGGAGTTTAGATGGCAGCTGAGTAAAAAGTTAATGTAGAAAACTTTAGGGCAACAGTTTCAAAAGTAAAATTGCAGAGGGCTAATTTAGTAGAAGTTGAAGCAGATAATGCAAACATTCTTTAAAGCTTTGGAACAAATGAAGGAAACAGATGGCTTGTTCACAGTTGAGGGTTGACAGAATGAGAGGTCTTAGAACGTCAAGTGAAGTAGTAGGTTACCCTGAGAGTGAGGCTGAAATATTTCTGGGATCCAGCCATTAAAGTGAATTAAAGAGGACCTCAGATCAGTGACTGTTAAATCCGACTGAACATCACCTGGAGGGCTTGCTCAACCACCAATCTCTGGGACCCACACCAGAGTACCTGGTTCAATAAGTCTGGGCTGGGGCCCAATAATTTATATTTTTTTAATATTAATGTCTTTTATTATTAACTCATACACAATTACTTGTCTTCTGGTTTGTTGAAACAATAGGTCAGACAACATTTGCCACATTAATGTCTGTCAGAGTGGCTGGCCATTAAAAACTCCACCACCACATTCATTATATGGGCACTCCCAATGAAGTCACCAGTTTTACTATTCTCATCCACCTTATTTCAGGACAGCCAGCTTAACCTTCTTTCTCTTATGTCATTTTTCTTGGGAGTGGTATAAGACCTTTTTATTTTCTTTCTTTAGCACCACAATGCAGTCTCAAGCCAATATAAAGAGTGGGCTCCTTTTGAATGATACAGTCAGACAAAGTTCGTCCATCTTGCAGTTGCTTGCTAGCAAAAATCAGTCTTTGCTAATCAGGAGGAATTTCTTCCTCACCTTGGATCTTGGCTTTTACCCTTTCTATTGCATCTGAGGGTTCAACCTCCAGAGTGACAGTCTTCCCCATAAGGGTTTTCACCACAGATGGCAGATAGGAAAGCGATAATTTATATTTTTAACAAGCTCCAGATGCTAATGCTGCTGGCCTGAAGGCCACACTTTGAAAACCACTGGCCTAGAGCAAAGCATCTGGCAGAAGGCAGATGCTGCCTAATTTTCTGAGTGAATCGATAAGAGTACTCATCTTTAGGAATGGAGGTCTCTCTGCATTTAAACACCAGATTGGAGGCTAGGATGGAAGGTATTGGTCAGAGCAGAACTTCAGAGTTTGGATTCAGAGAAAAAACAAAATTTGGGTGGACAAGATCCAGGATTGATTCTGCCAGGGAAATAATGGGAGGTCAAGGAATTGGATGTTGCACAGCTCATCAAAATGGATCACATTTTGATGGAGGCTTGGGTCTAAAGGGAAACTTCACCAGGAAGTCAAGATGTAAAAGGGAGACTGGCTATTCTCTGGACTTGAGTTATGTAGAGTTGACTACACACTCACATAATTGTAGTCCATCCAGGCAAATGCACCAGAACTTATCACAATTCTTTTGTTTTTTTAAAGATTTATTTATTTGTGCATACAAGAGCTGGGGTACAGGCCAGAGGTGTGGGGTTGAGAGGATTCACCAGAGACAGAGTGGGGAGCAGAACAGGCAGATCTAGTGAAATACACTGCTGAGGAGAGCAGCAGGCATGACAGGAGAGGTCTGCTGCGCCATGTGGGTAGCTCCCTGGCCAGGGATCGAACTCCTGCTGCAGTGGCTGCAGTCTGCTTCATAGTGTTATGCTTAACCCCTGCGCCACCAGGGAGTCCTCCCTCATCACAATTCTAAGACAAGCTTGGGACTCTGCATCACCTCTGATTGCTCACCCTATAAGTAAGGTTTGGCTAGGTCCCAGATTTTTTAAGGGGAGCTCTAGGGTGGAGACTTCAGCCTGAGGTTTTCAGCCCTCTAGGGAAGCAGTTCAACTAATGCTCTACGGCTTGGATGAGGACAGAGAAGGAGGCTGCTAATTCTGGGAAGTGGCTTGCCAAGAATTAATAAAAATTCCACTAGATCCGGATTTTTAGATTAAAAATGTCGCTAACCGTCAGCAATATTCTGCTTCTCCTTTACAGCTTTACAGGAGTAACTCTTCGAACACCTTTGTGGGGGTATGACTGTGACTATGAGTTCTAGGATTTTTGTCACCTGCCACTGCAGGTGTCCTTACCTGCTGGTCCTGGAGGGCCCCTGGGCCCGAGGGCCCTTGCCGCCGGATCTTAACAGAGTGTAACCTTCCATAAAGTTGCTTGCTCCCCATGGCTGTTTTCCCATTGGGAAAATGTCTACACACTTAGTAGCCCACATAGGGTTGTTGTGAGGATTAAGTAGTTAAAGCTCTGGACACACAGTGAAGACCCTATAAATGTTATGGTTTGTGCATTATCTAATACGGGTCCTTGTCAACGCCCCGGGTTGTGACCCGTGGTCCTGCAGTGCCACCTATCTGACGGGTGCACTCTTTCCCGCTCGCGGCATAGCGGTAAGGACCACTTTTTCTGAAGCGTTTGAGTGAACCCAGGATTGGCAGGGTCTGCCCCGCGCGAGAGGCGGGGACGCATGCGCGCAGCCGCAGAAGGGCTCGCCGTGGCGCCGGCCCGCCGCGGGGGCCGCTGGGGCCGCTGGGTTGGCCCCGCCCCCTAGGGGTCAGGGGTCACTGACTGGCAAAGGCTGCAAAGCGTTTCTTCGAAACCGGGCCAGTCAGCCCATCCTGAGCCGATGGAATCCGCGCAACGCTGCGCTTTGTGCCGCCAGACCTTCTTCTGTGGTCGCGGACACGTCTACAGTCGCAAGCACCAACGGCAGCTGAAGGTGGCTTTGGAGCGGCTTCTGCCCCAGGTGCGCACGGGAGGCTGCGGTGCTGACGACCTGGGGCGGGGATGCGGGCGGTGCAGGGAGGGCGGGAAGGGAATACGATGGCGGGGTCCCCGCTCGCGACCTCTTGGCTTCTCCCCTCCGCTGCAGGTGGAGGCAGCCCGCAAGGCCATCCGCGCCGCCCAGGTGGAGCGTTACGTGCCGGAGCATGAACGATGCTGTTGGTGTCTGTGCTGCAGCTGCGAGGTGCGGAAACACCTGAGCCACGGAAACCTGACCGTGCTGCACGGGGGGCTGCTGGAGCATCTGGCCAGGTGAGATCCGGGCTGCGATCCTCATGCAGCACATTCGCGTACACGCTTCGGAGGGAAGGTTTAGTGGGTGAGAGGAAGCACACCTTCGTGGTTTGATCAGAGTGGATGGACGGAATCACCTTATAGGCATTGCCAACCTTGAGGGATATGTCAACAATGGTTCAGTGGTGTCGGTGGGCGGCTGGCTCAAGGTTACTCCCATTATTTCCTCCCAGAGTCTCTCTCTCTCTTTTTTTTTTTTTTAGGATTTTTAAAAATTTATTTATGCATAGAAGAGGTGGCGTGTAGGCCAGAGATGCGGGGCGGTTGGGTGAGAGGATTCATCAGAGACAGAGTGGGGAGAACAGGCGGATTGACTTAAATACACTGCTGAACATATTTGTTTATTTGTTTGTTTTTGTTTGTTTGTACATGCACTGGGTACAGTCAGAAGCGCGGGAGGGTGAGAGAATTCACCAGAGCCAGAGTGGGGAGCAGAGCAGGCAGAAGGACCGAAGTACACTGCTGAGGGGAGCAGCGGGCAGCAGGAGAGGTCTGCGTGCCATGTGGGACCCTCCTCTGGTGGCCGGGGAGCAGCCGGGGATCGAACAGGTGCCAAAGAGGCCACGGGCAGCTTCGCAACCCAGAGCTCAACCGCTGCGCCACCGGGGAGGCCCCCCCTTCTCACATTTTTATTGGAAGAGAGAGGCTGGAGATCTGGAAGAGACTGCTAACACTATTCCTCTCAGCCCTGCGTAGAAGCAGAAACCCAGATATTAGCTGCATTACTTATCTGATACCTAAGTAGCTGTGTAGTAATAGTCTGTAATCTGTCATTGAAAATACTCATCCTCTCCATTCTCAGCCCAGAGCACAGGAAAGCAACCAACAGGTTCTGGTGGGAAAACAAGGCCGAATCCCAGATGAAAGAGAAATTTCTGATTTCCCCCCAAGATTATGCACGGTGAGTCACTGGTTAGGAAAGATGAAGTAGTGGAATGTGAATTCTCTGGGCTTGTGGCTATACTGGAACTTTCTCTAGTAATGGGAAAATTCAGTAAGGACTTCGTAAGTATCTGTTTTCATAGCGCTCATGATTCTGCACACGCTATTGGACACAAGAAATATGACAGTCCCTGTTATGTTTATAATCTGGGTTGTTGAAAAAGTCATATTTTTTTCTGTTTTCTTTTCTATGCCAAAATGTGTCATGACTTTTCCGACAACCCAATAGTTAGGGGTTGGGATTTATAATGCATTAGGAAATAATGAACAGTATATATTATAGTAAAAGTTGACTACTTGACTACTTAAATCTCTGGCACACAGTATAGTTAGGGTGAGAGATTTGTAGTGTACAATAAATTGGTGCTCCCCCAGTAACTACTTTAAATGGTGTAGACCTCCAAGAAACTGAAGTGCAGAAAGCTCATCATCCCAGAGTGTGAGCCCTGACAGCTCAGGAAAAGGACACAGAAGTCTGACACCACTTTCACTGGGACCATACTGAGTGAGATTATGGGGGATGGAACCCAAAGGCATCTCAGAGGTAAAGTTACAGAAAAACTCGTGACATCTGTTCCTCACTACTCAGTGGGGAGAACAAGGGAGTAAGACACGCCTAAATCCCCACTACCTTACCTTCCAACCTGTAGTTCAGCTGGGAAGTGGGAAACAAAAAGGACACACTTCACACCATGATCCTACTGCGTATGATTTTTGGTGGGTGAATAAAGGATGATTGAGTAGAAAAGAATTGTAATTGAGATTTCAGAAGATGAACTCTCCGAGTATCGTCAATTTCCCGGTTATTTTGTTAAGTGAAAAAAGCAAAATACACAAAGAACTCACATTTTATGCTGCCTATAGTTGAGAGGAGAAAAGGATAATTGAAAAACTAATGAAACTAATCATCTATAATGGGTCCATGGAAACAGCAAAGAGAGGGGTCAAGAATAGAAACAAGATTTGTAAAAGACTTTTTTAAATATAGTTTTGGTTTTTGAATAAAAAATTTCAAGCCAATTTTCACCCAAGACAAGGCATGGCTAAACCTGAGTGAACTGATTCGTAGATAGTGAACCACTTTGAGATTTAGACAGTTTATTGCATAGACAGTGGACAGAGTAAACAAATGCCAGCTTCCCAGGTCCTTGCTGCAAGCACCAAGAGGGAGCACACTGAAACATACAGGGCTGGATGGCTGCAGTGAGTTGCAGGACATCTTGTTGCTGCGGAGCCTAATCTAGACTGCAGCTCTATCAGCGAGGGGTGGGGCGGAAAGCTCCTTATCTCATCAGAACCCCAGAATTGATGAGAACTGTCTATCAGCGAGGGGTGGGGCAGAAAGCTCCTTATCTCATCAGAACCCCAGAATTGATGAGAACTGTCTATGACAGCTTCTCAAGGGAGATAGGGAGGTGAGTGCGAGATGATCTCTTAGCAGCTCCTTTCAGGCCTTCCAGCCTCTTGGGTTCTGAAAGGATAGCAGAGGCCTTCTGCCAAGACACTGATGAGCTGAGTTCAAGGTTTTGCCTCCAGGAATATGTGCAAGGTTGCCCAAGCACCATGGTAGGAACATCCCCTTACATGTCTTACATACTAGGTCAGAAAGCCAAACCTAAAATTGACCAACTATTCACTACATATCAAATTGGCAATATTCACAAACAAAACAATAAAAATTCCAAGTAAAAATTCTGACTGTATACCCCTAGGAGGATATTTTCTAACAGAGAATTGCAAAGAAATCTTGAACTTTGCTTTGTGGTATCATTGATAGTGGTTATTATTGTTATCCTGAAATCTATTTTTGTTTTGGGCAACAGGAAATGTGTGTATAACGGAGAGGTTTTGATAGTATGGCAAATATTAACAGTGAATCTGGGTGAGGTAGGTGGGTACTATTTTGTGTGGGAGATTATTAAAAATTTAAAGAAAAAATTATCTACTGAGGATCTTTTCATAACTGGCAGGGACGGGCGCTCTGGGCTTATTTGCCCTTTTTCCTTTTAGATTCAAGAAATCCATGGTGAAAGGTTTGGATGCCTATGAGGAAAAAGAGGATGAGGTGATCAAAGAGGTAAGTTTAAAAGGAAAGGCCTGTGAGGGACCCAGCCCATGACCTAGTATCTATCTAACACCCTCTCCCCCACAGATGGCAGCTCAGATCCGGGAGGTGGAGCACAGCCGACAGGAGATGGTTCGGTGTGTCTTAGAGGTTGGTTTCCCTCGGAGGATCCAGAGCAGTATCCAAATCCACAGATCCCTGGTTCTCCCAGGTCTCCAGCATTTCACAGACCAGCTCTTCTACGAGAACTCAGACTCCATGCTTCATCTGCACGGCTTGCATTCCCTTACCTGTCCTCCAAGGGGCAGACCTTGTCAATGGAGAAGATGTGGGCTGGGCTGGGAGGGAGGGAAGAGTTTTTAAGATGGGTAGTACCCTCTCTATGCCAGTTTGTTTCCTTCAAGAGGGTGGGCATGGCCTAGGTAGGCTGTTAAGCATCCTAGACACATTTATTTTTCCTGAATCAAACTCAGCCTCAGGCAGTACCAGACCCAGAAGAGGGTTCTTCAGCACCTGGAAGCTGGAAAGGGATTAACAGGTAAGACTGTTAGGGATTCTCTTGTTGAGAGGTCACATTAGAGCATTCAGTAACATTTTGGCTGGGCAATAGAAACAAATTATCTTTATTATCCTCATGGTTCAAGGGCCCCATCTGCCAGCCAGATTCCTGTTTTGTATTTTTCAGCCAAGTAGCCTCCACCTCCCATCGGCCCTCATACTTGAACCTACCACCAGCCCCAGAGCTTGACTGGATGGAGACAGGACAACCTTTGACATTCATTGGCCATCAGGTACATGGATAAGCCAGCCAGGAAAGCACCAGGCCCCTTTCAGTTTTGGGATACCCTCTCCTGGTTTATCTGCATATTTCTCTGGCCATATCTGCCTTTTTTTCAGGCTTTGCCCTTTTGCTGCACTGCTCTCTAGTACTGTGCTCTCAGATTGCTTTCTTCACCCTCCAAGGTGGCCCCACAGCCACTAGGAATACCAACTCAAATCTTGCCTTCTGCAGAACCCATAGTTCCAGCTCACAATGCAGGACACACTTAGAGGTGTAACTGTATTTCCAGACCCTTCTCTTTGGGTCAGCTCTCTGGCCAGGGATCAAACTCAGGCCATAGCGATAACAGTGCTGAGATTTAAACCCTATGCCACCAGGGAGGGTCCCTTCTCAGCTTTCTTACCACTTTTTCTCCCTATTTCCAACTACAGGACACACCAGGAGTTGGCAATATCCACTCAGGTAAGGTCCAGGGTACTGTTTCTCAAATATAAGAGGCAATTTTTCATCCTCAATATACTTATAGTAGCCATAAGTTGAAAACCCATGCGCTCCCACAAATGAATGGAATAGCACCTAACAACAGAGGAGGAACTACTGATACATTGTTAAAAGCCTACCCCCCAAAAGTATATTCCATGTATATAAATCTAGAAATTATAAAGTATTATACAGTAACAGAACACAGATCAATGGTTGCTTAGAAAGGTGTAAGTATTTTGAAAGGATAAATTATCTATGGGTTCACTGTGGCTTCACTCAAAACATCTCTAATTATATACCTTCAATATATATACTTCGTTGCACATCATTTATGACTCAGTAGAGCTATTAAATGTACCATGTCTAAGGTATGTTGCTTTGAATTAACATAGGGCACTTAACTTCCCAAGGTTCAGAATTCCTGGGTTTTGCTTTTAAAATTTATAGTTCTCAAACAGATATGACCTTAACTAGGGTATGGTTCACAGCAGTATGACCTGCCTTCACCTCTGCTTAACAGGCCTTTTGTTTCCAGGTGCCACACCTCCCTGGATGGTCCAAGATGAGGAATGCAGCTCTGGGCACCAACCAATAGGACCCTCCTATGAAGAGTTCCTTAAAGAAAGTAAGTAAATTTTTAAGAGAGCAATTGGGCTCTTAATTTTGTCTAACTCAAAAATATTTACTTATCACTACAGAGGAAAAACAGAAATTGAAGAAACTTCCCCCAGAAAGAGTTGGGGCCAACTTTGATCACAGCTCCAGCACCAGTGCAGGCTGGCTGCCCTCTTTTGGTCGGGTGTGGAATAATGGACGCCGCTGGCAATCCAGGTATGAATCCAGAGCTAGGCATCAAGATCATGAACCCCTTTGGAGATTTCACCCTTCATCCTGTTAACCTTTTGTTTCCTTTCAGGCATCAATTCAAAAGTGAAGCTGCAGCAAGGAAGAAACAGCAATCACGTAAAGAAAAAAAGCTAATGGTTTCCTGATATTTCAGCAACCACAACGCTCAAAGATGAACCAACAAAATCATACTTGCTAATCTTTACAATTCCCTTCCATAGGAAACAGACATACCGACTTATTTGATTTAATAAAGTTTTATTTTTCAAAAATGTACAGTTTGTGGGACCTGCAAAAAAAAAATTAAAAAAGAATCAGAACTATAAAGCATTATAAGAGGATGCACACCTCACACAGCACAAGACCCTTGCTCACCTGCTTACGCATCTTCGCCAGCAGCTGGAGCATCTCCACCCTTGGTGTTTCTGGTGTAAATTACTTGTGCTCTGTGCTTTGAAACTAGTTTGATAAGTCCTAAAGAGAAGATGTTTTCATAGAAGCACTATGAGATACTTAAAAGCTGCAATAAAGTGAGTTTTATATCCCTCCCAGCAAAATGCTATTTTTGACCATAAGGACATATGGTAACAGAAGCAGGCATGCCTACAAACCAGGGTGATTCATCTAATTTCATGTAGACTTTTGAAAACTGGCAGCATACTATCTACTCCTGATATATCCACCCTCACAACACTTTGCTCATAAACTTTTTTTTTTTAAATCACCATTTCTGCATTAGGCACGACAGACAGCTTTAAAATGTTTGTACTAACACAGTAATTAGACCCACCACTAAATTTTTAACTTAGTGCACTAATAAAACATTATAAAAGCTTGTAGTATTTTAATAGTTATATTTCAACATGACTCAAACACGATTTCCTCTACAGTTCTATGTATTTTATTCATTTGAAAATCTAAAAGGTCCTCAGACTATACCAAACACCCAGGGATTCCATGGTCTATGTTAGAAACTAATGGCCAGCCCACGCCTTTTTATAATTCCAATGCAAACATTTAAAAGGGCTAACATGGTCAGGTCAATTTAAAAAGCATACCAGTGCAACGCATCTGTCACCCCTCTCACCTTTACTAAGGAGCTCTTGAAGAGCTGCCCTTGCCAGGGAGCCACGAATCTTCAGTCTCTCAGACACAACAGCTGGGGTTATGAGCTTGTAGTTGGGAACTTCCTTACAGAGTTTGTCATAAGTGGCTTTGTCAAACAAGACTAGGTTATTGAGCTTGTCCCGAACTTTGCCTTTGGACCACTTCTGCTCACAAAAACAAAACAAACGTAACAAAGATTTAGTGCTTCTGGAAGAATCACTCCTCTCTCAATCCATTCAGACAACCCTCTGCCAAGTTGTAGGAATATACTGAGGAAGCTGTGTTCTTTGGCTTGTGGAATCCTATGAATGCAGAGTTTGCAGAAGCTCTGCAGATTCAAATAGCTATATATAATTAAAGTCAGCACAATAACAACAAAAAAAATTGGTTAACACTGATATCAAAAGTACTTGCGATTTTTAAAAAGAAGGATCACATCTTTGAGTCTTTCGGAGATGGGCTGAGGTCCACCGGACCGTAGAGTTAACATGTGAGAGGCATCGGAACAAATGCTGTATTCACACCCGCTTACTTTCTAAGTTCAATATCCCGCCCCATTCTTCAACTCACGACGAGAAGACCATAACGAATATTGAGTCTACACCCCACACCCTTAACAACTGTCTAACAGTGATGTAGCGCAATGCGATGGGTGCGCCCAGTCTCCCTCACTTACCTTCTTTTTGGCCTTGCCCCCAGATTTGTTCACTGGGTCTTTGTCTTTCTTGGCCGACTTTCCGGCATCTTTTTTCTTCTTATCGTCTTTGGGAGGCTGTAGGAAAAAAGGAAACACAGATAGGTCATCCAGCAATCCCCAGCTCCCCCGACTCCCGCGCCGCCCGGCCCCCGCCCCAAGTCCACCACCGAAGCACATGGGGGAAGCAGTGACCCGCGCGCCAGGAGATGCACCCCGGCAGCTCCAAGTGCACCCTTTCCCTCGCCGCCTCAACTAAGCCCTCGCATCGCCCCGCTCTCAGAACCGCGCCGGCTTCGTATCCCGGAGCTCACCATCGCGAAGCTCGGAGAGCAGCGGCTACCACGGCAGCCTCGCTAAGATGTCGGACAAAAAGGAAGCGTCGCTCACGAGCGAGCCCAGAAACCTCCACCCACACGAGCGCTTCCGGGGCAAGGGGCGGGGCCCCGGGAGGAAGCTCGGAGGCACAGCTGTGGCGCAGGCTGGGGGCGTGCCGGAGGAGGTGGCCGCCCCTTTGCCGCGAGTTGTGAAGCACCCACGCACTGTCACTTCGTGGCACTAAGAACCGGGAAAGAACGGCGGGAATCTTTGCCGCGTATCGGCAACTACTTTCCCGGTGTTAACGTCGCAGGTTACGGCTTTAGGTGCGCAGGCGCCTCAGGCCGCTGGGGCGGGCGGCCAGGGGGCAGGTACGGGTACACTTCCGGGGCGGAGCCGTCGGGAAGAGCCGAATCACTTCCGGAGCTGCGGCGGCTGCAATGGCGATTTTTAGTGTGTATGTGGTGAACAAAGCTGGCGGCCTGATTTACCAGTTGGACAGCTACGCGCCACGGGCCGAAGCCGAAAAAACTTTCAGTTACCCTCTTGATCTGCTCCTCAAGCTACACGACGAACGTGTGCTGGTTGCCTTCGGCCAGCGGGACGGCATCCGGGGTGGGTTCTGCTCGGGGCCAGAGGGTGGCGCCTGGTGCTGCAGAAGTGGGCTGGTGGCCCTGTGAGGTCCGGGGGCTGTGGCTTGGGGTCGGATCCCTCGTGCCCTCAAGGGAATTTGCTGACCCTTAGCCTCTCCTCTGTAGTGGGCCACGCAGTGCTGGCCATCAATGGCGTGGACGTGAATGGCAAGCACACAGCCGATGGGAAAGAAGTGCTGGAGTTCCTGGGCAACCCTGCTAATTACCCGGTGTCCATTCGATTCGGCCGACCCCGTCTCACCTCGAATGAGAAGCTCATGCTGGCCTCCATGTTCCACTCGTGAGTTCCCCTAACCCTACTGCCTGTCATGATGCACTTCCTTGACTCTAAGGGTTAGTGCCTTTCTACAGGCAGTCTCCTGAAAGGCAGGGCTTATTTTTCTCTATCTTCTTTTAAATAATCAGTTCTTGTGTTATGAAAAGAAAAATAATTGATCCAGTGTGACTAGGACTTAAGTAATATTGGCAGTCGTGTGATTTTGCTTAAGTCAGCTGTTCTCTGAGCCTGTTTCTTCCGTCTTGAAAGCCGTTGAACTACGATGTTTAAATTTAAAGTCTTTTTCTGCTCCCAACTGTGTTATGAGATGAGCTGGTTATCCACAGCCACGGGGTGAGTAAGCATAGCACGTATTCCCAGAGTGTTCATTTCACCCAAAATGCCAATGTAAACTGTTTCATAACGAAGCAGAATTCAAGTGTATTTTAAAGAAATCTTGATACTGCCACTAGTAGTTCACACTGCCTCACCTGAGGGTGTGAAGCTGAAATGTGAATTTTTCAGCAGACAGGGTCACTTAAGTGAAAATGCTTGAGAAGCATTCTTCGTTTGCAACATTGGGGTGCATTCCCAACTTTTCCTCCTTTGCAAATAGGCTTTTCGCAATTGGCTCCCAGCTATCTCCTGAACAGGGAAGCTCAGGCATTGAGATGCTGGAGACAGACACATTCAAACTGCACTGCTTCCAGACACTGACAGGTATGTCTCTCCAGTAAAGCCAAAGGATACCATGGGGCAGGCTGGGGGAAGGGACTGACCAATGACAGCTTTGGTAAGCAAACAGGGTGATGGTTTTTCCTGGGGTAATTGCACAGAAACATTGATGTGTTTTGTGAATCCAAAGCCAATATTTAATTTGTCACTGATTTTGTCCATGCCACCCAGCAAGCCCAATCATGGTGATCCCATGCACAGATTAAAACTCCCCTTAGTGTTACTTTGGACAAACTTTGAAAGGTATGAGTGTTGCAAAATGAAATTTAAATGCTAAATGGAAATGGTCTTTGTATCATGAATGCTATTCTTCAGTCCATTAATGCAGGTAATTGAAAAAATGCATGAGTTTGTCCTGTGCCTGGCACTTTCTGATGAGGGACCCCATGATTGGAAGTAGGTGACAGATCTAGAGCTGGTCTCTCAATCCACTGGCTGATGTGATAAAGTCACTTCACTTTTCCAGTCTCCGTTATAAATTCCTATTCTTCCCTTTCCTGATTTATGTAGCAACAAGGACAATTTTAAAATGAACTTAGGAAGTGCTTTGCCAAATTTGCTGCATCCTTTACCCCTTAGCAGCCATTCTCGGCTTCTCTCTAGGGATCAAGTTTGTGGTGCTAGCAGATCCCAGGCAAGCTGGAATAGACTCACTTCTCCGAAAGATCTATGAAATTTACTCAGACTATGCCCTCAAGAATCCATTCTATTCTCTGGAAATGCCCATCAGGTAGGTGGTCCCACTCCCCTTCCCTATGTGATCTTTTTAAAGTCATTTTACATGTAATAGTTACTTTTAAATAAAAAAAAAAGAAAAGTGAGTAGCCTTTCACTTATTATGAGAAACTTGCCATGACGAAACTTGCCATGGCCTTCATGTTCTTGGAGTAGAGTTTTCACTGCTCTGCGTCTGTACCTAAAGTGGGGAGAGGGCTATGGGCCTCAACCTTTTTCCTTATACCTCCTGGGCCTGGCCTAGATGTGAGCTGTTTGACCAGAACCTGAAGTTAGCCCTGGAGGTGGCTGAGAAGGCTGGAACATTTGGACCTGGGTCTTAGCCTGAACCTGCCATGGATCATCCCCACCACCCCCAAATTTTGAGCAATCCTGCAGCAGGGGTTCCTGCTAGTTCCACTCCAATGGAAACCCCAGCAGCCTTGCTAGTGCACTTGAAAATGGGAGGATGCTGAGCCTGATGACATGAACTGGTCCCCGAGCCTTAATACCTTGCTCTCTTCCCTCTTGTATCTATTGGGCACCTACTTCCCAACTCTGTACATTTATTTATGGAGGAAGTGAGGCCCATTAATGCTGTAATAAACATTCCTTTGATCTCAGCGTTGCTATCGTAATTAATGGTTTTGGGGAAAAGTCTCTGGATGGGAGACAGGAGTGATAAGGGAATTCTGGGAAAATGAGATAATAGGTTCTAATAGAAAACAAAAACACATTCATGGTCATGAGCCTTGGGTCTAGTTTCAGAATTGCTGCTGATTTCTTAGGATAATAGTGGTGATGATGGTGGTGGGTCACTCAACAAATGTTTACAGCCAGACTTTACTGTTTTAGCCTCAGCCTAACCTCAGGGGATACATTGTTACAGACAGGAAACGTACAAGCTCTCTCTCTTTCTAAATCTCAAAGTTAGTGACTGTCAGTCTACGCTTGAACCCTATCAGTGAGCCACTGTTACACTGCCTTCCTTTCATCAAGTTACTTAGTCTGCTTGATACCCAGTAGCTTCATTTCCAAAATGATCATTGAGTTACACAATGTTAAGATGAAGGCTAAAGAGTCCATCTACATGCCATCTTTCCCAGTCCAGGGGAATGAAGTCTTCCTTTTGTGTAGCAGGAACAGGTGCTAAGAGTTTTTTCCAAAGAAAGCTATCTCTAGCTAGTATTACTTTTGAAACAATGACTCACTGACAGTGTTTAGTATCAAATCTAGTTTTAATCTATAACAAGTATTCCTACCCTTGTACCCATACTCCCTATCACACCCAGGGTATTAGTGAGAATGATAGCCTTTCTTCCCCTGGAGCCTTACAGTTGGCAATAGCAGCTGCCCCTGCCTCTTGCTGAATGGACTTAGGGCAGAAGTCCTGGGTCAGTGGTGTCCTGCAGCTGCAAGAAGGGCCACTCTTCTCGGTTGGGGGTGGGGATAGGGCAGGGCCCAGGAGTGGGATAAGGGTATCGGAGACTCCCTGCCTGAAGAGTTTCCTGTCTGTCTGAGGGCAGGAAATAGGAGCTAATGGCGCCCAAGAGCAAAGATTGTCTTTTAAATAGGGCATAGGGTGACCTCTTTAGCCACTGATAACTTCCAGTGTCACCTGGGCAAGGGAAAAGGAACAGAAAAGGTAAGTCAAAGGTTCAGTGCTAGCTAGAGCAGCCCCCACCCACTTCATGTGCAGGAGCAAGGCCACAGGTGGGAGAGGATGTTCCAGAGTCTGCATTCTCTTCACTCAGCCTTCTTGGGCACTCTGCCCATCTTGGTGCGGATGTTTCGTAGGAGGAAGAAGGCTGCTGTGCTGGCTGCACAGATAACTTCAGCCACCCAGAAAGCTGTGCTCCAGCTGTAGTGCTTGGCAATGGTGCTGAAGGGCAACCCAGCCAGAAAGCCACCCACTGTCAGGGAGGAGGGGAAGAGCTTGAGTCAATGGTGAGACAAGTCAGTGGGGCTTGCTCCAGCCTCTAGCTGGCCTATGTGCAAGGCATCAATAGGGGTGACAGAGAGGCTAGAGGACACCACTTACCGTTGGCCATGAGCCCCACAATGGCATGGGAGGTTCCACACAAGTTGGGAGGAGCGCACTCATTGGCTATAACTCCAAACAAGGCAATGGGACCGTAGGAGGAGAAACCAAACAAAGCTCCCAACACCAGAATCCAGAGCTGCAAGGGCAGTGCAGGGTAGCAATTAGAGGCTGAGACAGCCAGCCTACCTACCCCTGCCACCAGAGACAATCATGCTTGCCCCAAAGGAACAAATAGTTGTAGTAAAGAGACAGTGGCTCCCCTCACCCACTTCCCAGTACAACTGACAGTGCAGAGCTAGAGTGGGGTCATACTGAACCAACCCAAGGGCCTGTGTGAGTAGGTGAAGGAGGTCTAGAAGCCATCCACTCCCCGATGTTAGATGCTGTCCTTGTATGCAAGCTGGAACGCCAAGGGGCAAGGCAGAGGGGTAGGGCAAAGGTGAGACAAACCAAGAGAAACACCAGAGAAAAAAGCACCTCGTGCTCCGTAAAGCCTGTGAGCTCAGCAAGAGGGTGAAGAGCTGGAGTCCAGATGGCATTCTAGAGGAGCGCAGGGAAGAGAAGAAAACCAGGCCCAGAGTCGAGAAGACATGAAAGTACAGAGAGGGACTGAGTTATAAACAGAACTGAAAAGGGAAAATCACAGGCCAAGAAAGGCCTGGGCCAGGCAGGAGCCAGGGAGAAAGAGGAAGACACTCAGTTGTCTCTGCTTTCTCACCTTTGTGCCTGGCATAGATCAGGCCCTCCTTACTTACCTTGGGGGAGTCACTGGTCACAGTCACCCGGAAGAGGTACATGGACACTGTCATGCCAGCCATCATGAACAGCAATAGACCATGGCGAGGGTTCCCATAGACTGACAGCCCCGCCTGTGGATACAGTCCCAGCGATGTTAGGCCGTAGAAGCAGCAGAGAATCCCCACCCCTAGACTCTGACATAGCAGGGCCTCCACTGTCAGATCTTTGGCAATCCCACCACAGTTCTTGGCCCAGGGCAGCCCGAGGACCTGCTCATTAGGTTCTGAGGCCAAACTCCACCACATCCCTTCCTCCACCTTGGGGCATGCTTGGGACACGTGCTGGCAAGCTGCACCCAGTCCCCTCCAAAATCCTGATTTCCCTGGGGCAATGGGGAAGCCCACTGCTTTGGCTGAGAAATTCTGGCTCTCCTTCACATCAGTTAAAACCCTTTCTCCAAGAGCCTTATCTCCAGGTCCCTAGCAAAGAAGAGTAGCCTGAAATTACCACCTCACCCTCCCTAAACCAGCATACGCCAACCTGCCTGTACCCCAGGGCTCTCACCTCTGGGTCCTTTTCCAGTCATACTGGGAAGATTCAATGGGACCCTTCTTCCTATCCCATCTGCCCCACTCACCTTTGCCATGGCCCGATCTGACAGGTAGCCAGCTGCAATGCTGCCTATGAGGCCCCCAACCTCCAGGGCACTCATGTAGGAGCTACCTGCAGTGAGAAGTTGTGGTGGGAAGAGGGGAAGGAAGGGTGGAAGGATGTTATGCATTGGGGCTGTCCCAGGTGGGCTTAAATGCAGAGAGGTACAGGTTCCCCAAGGGTGACTGGCCACAGCTGCCACAGTAGTGTGCAGCCTCAGGGAAAGAAGAGGATAAAGAGAGGCGGGTCTGAATTTTCCATCCCCAGTGTTGGTTCCTTCCCCCTATGCCCACCTGCTCCAATTCTCATCTTACCAACAAGGGCTGACTGTCCTTTCTCCTGGATAAGGAAGAACTGGCCCCAGTCAGTACAGCAGGTCTTTACTCCAAACACCACGAGGTAGCCAGTGGAGAGCACCCACAGGTAGGGGGAGAGCAGCAGCTCCTGTAGGGTACTCTCCTCCTTCAAGGAGCCTGCGGGTAGAAAAGGACAGGCCTCAGGCTTTGCTGCTGTTGCCCTGCCCCCCTTATGCCCCACCACTCATTAACCAGTCACAGGGGCAGAGTCCATCTGCACAGCCAAGGATCAGCAGGAAAGCATCCCCTCACCCACTGCTCTGCCTTCTTCCCTCCACTGCATGGCTCAATGAATGAAAGAGAAACAAGACCAGGGCAGGTGGAGGACACACCCAAGCCACTGACGCTTAGGATACTGTCCAGGACTTGGGAATCTGGCTCTTGTGAGTTAGGACCAGGATTCAACAGGAGTCAAAGCCCTTGGCTCTGCCATTTGCCTGGTAATTGTCTGTGAGGATGGAGTTTTGTTTTTTTTTTTTTTTTTTAATAGAGGCATGTTTAATTTATTTATTTATTTGTTTGTTCATTTGTTTTGTTTATACATGCACTGGGCACAGTCAGAAGTGCGGGAGGGTGAGAGAATTCACCAGAGCCAGAGCGGGGAGCAGAACAGGCAGAAGGACCGAAGTACACTGCTGAGGGGAGCAGCGGGTGGCAGGAGAGGTCTGCGCACCATGTGGGACCCTCCTCCGGTGGCCGGGGAGCAGCCGGGAATCGAACCGGCGCCGCAGAGGCTGCGGGCAGCTTTGCAACCCAGCGCTCTACCGCTGCGCCACCGGGGAGGCCCTGAGGATGGAGTTTTATTTACTCCCCACCCACTCTCCATCACATCTCTCTGCCATATCTATCAGTTTAGCATGGGGCCAGGCACACAGCCAGACCTCAACAAAAACCTGCCACATGAATGGACGAAGATGCCACAGAGGTCGGCTTGGGTGGGGGCTCACCCTTCTTGCCCTTGGAAGGAGTGGGGTCCAGGTTTCGGAGTCCAACATCAGCAGGTTCATTGTGGATGAGCAGGAGACAGAGGAAGGAGACAACTACACACAGTGCTCCAGACAGGGCCAGTGTGCTGCGCCAGCTGTAGCTCTGGGCGAGGATCGTTGCCAGGATGGGGCCCAGCCCTCCAGCCAGGTTCATGCTGGTGGACAGGATGGCCCACCACGTGCCAAACTGAGATGGCTCAAACCACTGTGGGGCAGAGGGGGATAGAGTAGGTGCCAAGCCAACAGTCTATGTTGAAGGTGGGGGTCAGGTGGGGCAGACCCAGAAGCTCACATTACAGGAATGAGGGAGAGGGTGCTTCTATTTGGCAGGGCCAAATCCCTCCTATGCCACCTGATCCCACCCTATTCAGGCTCCTAAAATATCTTGACAAGCAATAGGAGCTGGATTGGAACTCCTGAGGAACCTGCTCTGAGCTAAAAGCAGACGTACGAATGCTCCCACAAGCTGCTTAGGTATCCTCTCTGCCAATCTAAGCAGGCTCTTTGCAAGTGGACACTCACCTTCCGCAGGACCTTCCCACAGGGGGGCCAGCCCAGCCCCTGGGCCAGGCCATTGAGGAACCAGAGAGCAGCAAAGACCGGCACTGTGGAGCTCCAGGAAAAGACGATGTTGACCAGACCAACCAGGAGCAGCCCAGAGGAGAAGAGCCAACGAGCACTCATCTGGTCAGAGAGCACCCCGCTCACAAACTTGCTGATGGCATAGGCTGCTGACTGGCTGCTGGTGATGAGCCCTGTAGAGGAGGGAGGCAGGGAGCAGGACATCTGGGGGGTTAGGGACCAGGGCAAAGGTACAGGGGGTGGGGTGGAGGAAGGCATGGGGTCAGGTGTGTAGAGGTGCCCAGCAGGGTGAGCCAGTTTCGTTTCAAGAGGAATAGGAGGAGCCTGTGTTGGAATCCTGGCACTTGTTTGTGGGCCTGCTACTCCCCCTCGCTGTGGCACTAACCTCAAACTGACCTATGACTTTTCAGCCTGTTGGAGAGTTCCAGCTGCAGCTGTCAGGAGGCAAGAAGGAAGTATAGGGCAGCTCCCCTCCCTAGGATTCACATATGCCTGCTTTTCCCTCTCACCCTGGATGGCAACCTAGGGCCTCTGGCACTTCTGTTGTCCCACCTAGGAATGGGCTTAGCATTGGAATCAGGGACCTATTCCTCCTGGAGAGCAGCCTGCAAGGTCACAGGAAGTCACCGTGCCAACCTCTCGGATCCCTGTGCTCACAGGGTCAGTGGCCGGCACTCACTCTGTGTGAATACTCACAGGTGTGGAAGCTTTCCAGAAGTCCCCTAAATACAGTGGGAATAAACTGCCTTTGGGGTACATGTAGGTAACAGGTGTGCGTGTGCATGTACACACACACATACACAGGCCAAATGAGCAGCTCTGGTCAAACATGCACACATCAAACACATCATCCGTTGTCCAGGCCCATGCTCATGGATCTCAGAGCCTCTTCATCCAGCACATGCAGACAGTCCTCCAGCCTCTGCTGTCACACACCGCACTGCACCCCTACACACACCACAGTGCCACAAACACCCAACTCATTCTGCTGCTTCTGTGTCCCTGGGCCCACCACCCTGCCCTTCCAGTGCTCACCTAAGTCATCTTTGTCCAGAGATATCTCCTCCACCAGCGAAGGCATGACAAAGGAGAAGGTCTTGCGGTTGAAGTAGTACAGACTGTAGCCTCCAAACATGGCAGAGAAGATCACAGTGCGGTAGTAGCCATAGCTCTGGGCCGCCATGGTGGCAGAGAGCAGGCCCTCCTGGCCAGGTCACCCGGCCTCTGACCACAGCTCCGGCTTGAGGCTCTCTCAGGGCCCAGCTCTGCTGAGTTAGGCTTTTTCTGCTCCCTCCTCCACCCAGTTTCCCAGGCTCCCTTTATAGCCGCCTTCTGGACAATCATTAAGCCTGGGGCAGCTCTTAGAGAACCCAGTGTCCTGAGGGAGACAAAAAAACAGATTACCAACAGCCAAACTGTGGGGGCTGGAGGGGGTCCTAGACGGAAGGCAGTGCCAGTGAGTAGGGCCAGCACCCTGTGTCCCCAGGATTTCTGCTTTCCTTCCTCTCCCTTATCCTCCTGCCTGTGAAATCAGTTGTGATTAAAGGCTCAACCTAATTACTTTTGTCTGCATGAATGAGCCCAGGGGACGCCTGGATGGGATGAGCAGACCTGCCCTCTCTAGCCCTGCTCCCTCAGTCACCTACCTTCTCATTCATTCAAGGAAGCTTGCTTGAGGGCTTACTGAATGCACTGGGTGATGGGCTAGTTTCTACAAACACACTATCAGACACACCATCAGACACATACCCCCAACAACCTCACTTGCAAGCCTTCTAGAGCTAGCCCTAGCCCCCGGAACTCCCAGGGCTCAGTACACATGGGGTGGATCTGTTCACGGAGAGCCGCAGAACTGTAAGCAAGGGGGAACTTCCTAGTTCTGATCCCACAGGGTCACACCGAAAGCCCCACTAGGCGCTGGGGTTGTGGTGGGGTCACTCAGCTGCCTCTGGTCCCCTTTACCCTGTGGCGTCTATGTGGGTTCCAATCTGGCTGACTGGGGGCTGCAGGGCAGGTGCCTGGACGGCTCGCGGGCGGGCAGGTGCACCGGCGGACTTCAGGCGGCAGTGCCCAACCGCCCAGCTTCCCAGGGCCCCGCTGCACGCCTCCGGCTGTTCGGGCTCTGCTGGGAAAGTAACTGGAGCAGGCGGCGGCGGAGCGGCGACCACGCGAAGCCCCCCGAAGCCCCCTCGCAGCGGGCGCCCGGAGGCGCAGGCAGGCCGGGCGGGGCCGGCAGCGGGAGGGGGCGGGGAGGCAGCAGGCAGCGGCCTCTCGGCACCCGCCCAGACCGCTGTCCTCCAGCCACCCAGGACTCCCGCCCCGGGCTGGGACAGAGGGGCCCGGCGCGGGCGGGGAGACCCGGGCTGCAGCGACACAGAGGAGGAGGCGTGGGCCGGGCACCCGCAGCGCCTCGGCGGTCCCCAGACGCAGAGGTGGACCCCCCGGGAGAGGCAGCCGCGGGAACAGCTCCGGGTTGCCTCGGAAGTTGGGGTTCGCTAACAAAGGAGGTCCCACACCTGAGACTCCACCCCTTCAGGCCCGCCCTCTGGCGCCGCCACTCCCCCGCCTACCACGTCCTACCTGAACAGAGGTGGGAGCCGGAATGCGGTGGGCGGGGAGACGGGCGCATGCGCGGGCGCTGGGGGCGGGAGGGGCGGGGCCTCCGCTTGCGCGCTCTAGTCCCCGCGACGCGCGGCCAAGCCAGGCGCAGACTCTATCCTGCCGGTCACACTGGTCATTGAGTGAGAAGAGCGCCCCCTAGAGGCAGGACTCGTAAATTCGCTTCTATTTTTCTGAGTGCTTCTACCACCAATCACTGGCGAGAACAGTGTTTTCTGGAAGAAATTAATTTGCCTTTCTCGATAAGCACAATTTGAGTTGTGTTTACTAAGCTTGCCCATTTATTCTTTTTTTTTTAAGATTTATTTATTTATACATACAAACACTGGATACAGTCAGAAGCGCAGGAGGGTGAGAGATCACCAGAGCCAGAGCGGAGAGCAGCCAGAGCGGGGGGCAGAGCAGGCAGAAGGACCGAAGTACACTGCTGAGGGGAGCAGCGGGCGGCAGGAGAGGTCTGCGCGCCATGTGGGACCCTCCTCTGGTGGCCGGGGAGCAGCCGGGGATCGAACCGGTGCTGCAGAGGCTGCGGACAGCTTCGCAACCCAGCGCTCAACCGCTGCGCCACCGGGGAGGCCCTCGGTAAGTACAATTCGAACATTTAATTTATGGCGAGACTGTTGGGGACAGAATCAAAACAAAAGTACAGGACTGGAGTAAACCTTAAATTCTGATCCCCGACCCACTATATTCTAACAGTGTAACCTTAGTAATAACCACTAGGAGTCTCGCTTTCTCCCCAAGCCCTTAGGTTGGTTGTGAAACTCCTAAATAGAAGATTTAGATAGTTTGGAAATTTTAGATAACCGTTTTCACAGAAACCACGAAAGAACTGCTGAAAGAATTTTATTTTATTTTTAAAGAATTATTTATTTATGCATACAGGAGCTGGGGTACAGGCCAGAGATGTGGGGAGGGGGGGTGAGAGGATTCACCAGAAACGAGTGGGGAACAGAACAGGCAGACTGACTGAAATACACTGCTGAGGGAGCAGCAGGCGACATAGGAGGTCTGTTGAACCATGTGGGCTGCTCCCTGGCCGCCGGGATTTGAACTTGAGCTGCAGAAGCTGCAGATTGCTTCGTAGTGCGGTGCTTAACCCTTTGTGCCACCAGGGAGGCACAGTTACTATTTTTTTTTAAAGATTTATTTGTTATGCATACAAGAGCTGGGGTACAGGCTAAATGTGTGTGGGGGGTGAGAGGATTCACCAGAGACAGAGTGGGGAACAGAACACGCAGATCAACCGAAGTACACTGCTGAGGGGAGCAGCAGACGAGTCAGGAGAGGTCTGCTGTGCTATGGGGTTGCTTCCTGGCCACCGGGGATCAAACTCGTGCTGCAGAGGCTGCGGATTGCTTCACAGCCTGCATCTTAACCCTTGCACCACCAGGGAGGCCCCAAGAACATAGTTTCTAAATCGAGCACCCAAGGTACCCATCCCCTCGTGGGTAAAAATCTACCCAAACGGGATTGGCCCAGAGCAAGGCCCCAAAACCTGCCACAAGTTTAAAGCATCTTTCAGTGGGGACCCATTGAAAAGGATCAGAAACAACCAGACAAGTCTGGGAGGAAAAGACCAAATCAAAATCAAGGTAAAAGCTGCCACTATTGTCCTCCCCCCGGGTCTCTCACCCACATCTGTGTCACCCAGTCCATGACCCAAAGGCAAGTGCAGTTTCTTCACGTGTCTCTCCGCTCCATGTGCCTCCTCCAGGTCTCCTTCTGGCTCTCCATCCTCCTTCCTTCCTTCCACCGTCCTTTGGGTGGGGCAGGGAACCTGGAATCTCCCCCTTTCCTGAGGACCACCTTGTTACAATTCTGCCTGTTCTTTTCCCCACTCTGTCTCTTGTGAATCCTCTCACCCCTCCCCCACCCACACACCCCTGGCCTGTATCCCAGTTCTTGTTTGCATAAATAAATAAATCTTTAAAAAAAAAAGATCATCAGGAAAAATAGAGACTATCAGAGTAAGAAAATTGAAATGGAAAAAACAAACAGGAGGAAATAAGAGGTTATTTAGAACAGATAACTGTCTGGTTATTTAGGAAAAAATCTGCTTATATCTCCTGTGCACACCCTATAATAGAATAAATCCCAGATAGATTAAGGCATACCATGTGAGAAAATAACTGCTGGTGCTCATTTGGTGAGGACCTGGTGACTCTTTGCAAAGTGGCAGCTGAGGAGACTCTAAACAAAGTCCAAGAAAGCAGTCAAAACTGAGAACAATGGGGGTTAAGTCTCAACACTATTAAGCTATCCGCAGCTACTGCAGCACCAGTTTGATCCCCAGCCGGGCAGGTGACCCACATGGCACAGCAGCCCTCTCCTGTCTTGCCTGCTGCTCCCCTCCGCAGTGTATTTCAGTAGATCTGCCTGGTCTGCTCCCCACTCTGTCTCTTGTGAATCTTCTCACACACACACCCCCCGACTCCTCTGGCCTCCCCAGTTCTTGTATACATAAATAAAAATAAATCTTTAAGAAAATGATAATAAAAGATATGCTACCAACAAAAGACTTGCTTTAGATCAGACACCAATAGCCGCTCCCTGGTGGTCTAGGGATTAAAGTCTCAGCACTATCACTGCTATGGCCTGAGGTTGATCCCTAGGCAGGGATCATGGTGCAGCAGACCTCTGGTCTCCCCGCTGCTCCCTTCAGCAGTGTATTTCAATTGATCACTCTGTTCTGCTCCCCACTCCATCTCTGGTGAATCCTCTCACCCCCATACCTCTGGCCTACACCCCAGTTCTTGTATGCATAAATAAATTTTTAAAAATCTTTAAAAATATATTCAAGAATTGCTAGTTTATAAAACTAGTTTTGCCAATTTCTATTTTCCTCTTCCACTTCAGAAAGGGGAGCACTTTGTACATGTTTTTCCGAGTCCGAATCTAAGCATGAACTGTCTTGTTGACCTTTAACACCTCACTGTCACTCAACTACTGGAACATCATTACAGCCACAGTAAGAGAAAGACAATACAGGGACTTGAGTCCATTTTGGTTAACACAAAGTATCACAGCTTAACTTATTCTTTTTGTCCTGAATATATTAGAAAGTATATACACATAATTGTGCCAGACAATCCTATTCAAATTGGAACTTTATGAGATTTTCAATATTTTTGGGCTTGTGATAACTTAAAAAATATATAAAATTATATACCTAAATGAGTTGAAAACTTAAAGGCTGGACTCAAATATTTATAGCAGCTTTATTCATAACTGCCAAAAGCTGAAAAAGCAACTAAGTTACCTTAGTGGTGAATAAACTCTGGTACATCCAGACAAAGGAATATTATTCAATAATAAAAAGAAATGAGTTATCATGAAAACACATGGAGGAAACTTAAATGCATGTACGAAATGAAAGAAGTCAAGCTGAAAAAGCCATATACTGCACAATTCCAACAATATGACATCCTGTTAAAGGCAAAGAATAGACAGTAATAAGATCAGTGATTGCTAGGGGAGGGAGGGATGAGTAAGTGGAACAGATTTTTAGAGCAGTGAAACTAGTCTGTATTGTATGATAATGGATACATCTCACATACATTTGTTCAAACCCAAAGAATAAAATACCACAAGTCAACCCAAATGTATATTATGGACATTTTGTGACAATGATGTGTAGGTTCAATTGTAACAAATGTACTACTCTGGTGGGGTTGTTGTTAAGGGTAGGTTGTATAAATGGAGTCAAGGGGTCTGTGGGAACACTGATTTGCTTTTGCTGTTTATCTAAAACTGCTCTAAAAAAGAAGTCTATTAAAACTTGTCTAACTTGTTCAATTTTCAGAGAAAAATTAACCTGCATGCTGGTTTTTTTTTTTTAAGGTTTATTGATGTATACAGGAGCTGGGGTATAGGCCAGAGGTGCAGGAGTGTGAGAGGATTTACCAGAGACAGAGTGGGGAGCAGAACAGGCAGATCCACTGAAATACACTGCCGAGGGGAGCAGCAGGCAAAACAGGAGAGGTTTGCTGTGCCATATGGGTTAGCTCCCTGGCCTGGGATCAAATTTGTGAAGCAGCCACTGCTTCACAGTGCTGAGACTTAACCCCTTGTGCCACCAGGGAGTCCCCCATGCTCATTATTTATTCACGTGCTTAAGCTATGTAAATGATGTATGACTAGTGATCTCTTGGTAAAACATGGCTCTACCACAACTGATAATCATTAAAAAATAATTGTATATTGGGCCTCCCCTGGTGGCGCACAGTTGAGCGCTGCACTGTGAAGCTGTCTGCAGCCTCTGCAGCACCACTTTGATCCCGGCCGGCCGGCAAGGGTCCCACATGGCCCAGCAGACCTCTCCTGTCGCACCTGCT